TTAGCTCAAAGATCGTCTGTTGGATTATCGTTTTAATTTTCGATAGCAGAATATTGAGTTACTCCTTTCTGTTCTTCAAAGTGTCGTGTTAAGTTTTGGAAAGCAGCAAATTTTATCAGCTAGTCAATTTATCGCTGTGGATGTTGTAGAGGTAATAGAAGTGAAAATAGAGACGATAGTTATTAAAAGAACACGCATCAGGGAATGGTATATTTAGTGTCAAGTTGTCAAACAATTGGTGTGGTGTATGCAAATGTGACAACAGAACACATAGGTTTTCACGGAGTGTTGCTTGCAAGAGACCGAGGACTCGAGAACTTGCGAGAACTGAAGAAAGTGATTGCCAAGTGGATTTTAAAATCTACTCCTGACGGTCGTGCGATTCTTTAGAGAATGTTGACATACCTGAAGTGAGCAGTAGAGTGCTTCAGTTTCCGTGATGTTTTGTGCACAACAAATATTCGCGTCCTATTGATCTTAGATCTAACCTAAGAGAATAGGATGTGAAGTGTTTTCATGGAAGAGGGACAAATAGCGCTCAAAGTCTTTTCGACGGATTTCAGTGGGAAATTGTCTTCTGTAATCTGAACGCTGACGAGCTGAAGTAGAACAACCAATTCCATACAGGTTAATATCATCTAGTCAAGAGGTTCAAACCTCTATCTGATACTGCTGGCAACTATACAAGTGCTATGGGTCATATTATTCTTTCCTTATCAAATCTTGTCTAAGCAGATAACTTAAAGTCTCAATATCTATCGAACATTTCTGGGAAACGCTGTACCAAATATATCATACTCATGAAAAAACTTTCTTAAAAATATCATACTTCAAGATAATTTCTTCCACAAAGATCTCTGGGACAAATTCTTCCAAAAGTATCATCCTCTGAGAAAAGTACAATAAAAAATATCATCCAATAGAAGAAATTTTCCCACAAAAACCATCTAGTCATTTTTGAGAACGGAATACAAAGTGAGCCGCCATTTTGTTCTCGTGACGTTTTGTTTTCTCGTGGTAACGAGATTAACGAGATGAACGGCAAACGGGACCAGGAGAGACCGACCAACTACCCGGGCAAGAAGCGCCACCTGCCGGTCCACGGCAACTTCCAGGCGTCCTGGCCGGCCAACCAGCGGATGCTGTCTCGTGAGACGACCCACCAGCGGGACCTAGAGATGACCCGTGCCCGCAGTGGCACCGTACCGTCCTTCAGCAGTTTGGAGCCCAGGGTCAGACGTGCGAGCGCCAGCGTCCAGCACTACAGTCCGATTCCAGAGAAGCCAGGCGTTTCCAAGCCGCATCCGGTGGTCCAGAAACAAAACAACTACCTTGACGTCAACGATGTGGCTTTAAACAGAGAACCTGAATTCCGGAGACATTCGTACGATTACGTCACAGGCCGCGGGGCCCAGCGCCACCAGGCGGTATACAGAGCCAGGCACTACAGTGATTACAATGTGAAACACCCTTTTGCTCAACACGACGAGACGAGGTTAAGCCACGCCCATTCAATGAACGATAACTCTAGTGTCATAAATCAAAGGCCGGATGTTGATCAGCGTGTTAACGATCAAAGACCGGAAGTGAGCAACACAGGGGGCGTCAACCAGGTATATATAGCTCGAGCTGGTGAGCTGGGTAAAACACCAAACAAGGACCACAACCCAACGTTCGCCAGCCTAAGACCGTCGACCACGACCAACCCTAACGGGTACAACTTGAGCCACAGCGCGCCCAGTGACGTCTTCAAGCTAGACCTGTCCAACCTCTCCAGGTCCGATTCCAGCGACAGTTTCCCCAGGTACGACTCCGACCCCCCCGAGTACGACTCGGACCCCCAGGACGAGCTGCCCTCAGGCCGACACAACCTGCCGACTGACGTCACCCACGTCCAGCAGGAGAGTGATGGCCACCACACCGACGACAACATGGACGAACCCTTCTACATCAACAAAACGGACGGATTGCCTCCCATATACGGGGGCGGGGACACCCCACAACAAGAGGAATCTCAAACAGATGAAACCGGAAATGTGCAGTACGTTTTGAGGAACCGTAACTCTCATGAACTTTCGAACAATTCCGGTGACGCGGATTCGGAAGGCGAGGCAATTGATACGGACGCTGAAGCCAAGTACGTAGGCGGGGACGTGTACGTGTTTTACCTACAGACTAGCGAGGGGGAACTCGTTGGTCCGCTCCAGTTTGACGTAGAGGATGTTCAGATAGGACTTCCGGTGCCAAGTGAGGTAGAGGCTAATGACCAAGGTGATGTCCCTTTATTTTCTTCTTTAGTCAACTAGATGCTGTTCTATATGCTATTCTAAAGGCTGTTGTTTGTATGTGTCTATGTTTTAGAGATAAGAAATCCCTAATCGGTTGAAAATGATGGGTTGCATGTGATAGGGCATTATTTATGAGGCAAATAGAATTCATAATTCCTAATACGCTTATTTTCAAAAAATAAATTATTAAATAAAAATAATTTTTAAAAATTAATAATTTCTTTTAGTGAGCAAAAAAAAAAAAAAAAATCGTCATGAAAAAAATGCATTTATTTAAATATTAACTTCTCTTCCCTTATTTCAAGGCAATAAAACAGCCGAACTCTACTTCATCTGCTCTATGCACATTTATACTTCAATATCTGGCTTCAATTAGACGAATGTTGACACCGCTCTCAGTTTATGTTATACCTTTATTACAACTACTAAAATAATATTTGAACACTATTCAATGATAATAATATTTGTAAAAAAAATGTAGAAACGCTAACACTTCAAAATGTGTGTAATTAAATGCGTGGTTAAATTAAGTTTGGTTTAAATATCTCACTGTGTGTTTGGATGTTTGAGTGTGAGATGGTGTAGGCCTACGTGTGTAGTTTTACCTCCATTATAACCGCCCTATTAGCAATTCTCTCTGTCTAGTGAAGTGTAACGCTTTCTGATGTGTTGGCCCAGTCTGGCCCACCATTTGTTGGCCCATTGTGCCTGGCCCCACCATTTATGTGCCCCACCATTTGTTGGCCCTGTCTGCCCCACCATTTGTTGGCCCACCATTTGTTGGCCCTGTCTGCCCCACCATTTGTTGGCCCAGTCTGTCTCACCATTTGTTGGCCTACCATTTGCTGGCCCAGTCTATCCCACCATTTGTTGGCCTACCATTTGCTGGCCCAGTCTATCCCACCATTTGTTGGCCCACCATTTGTTGGCCCCACCATTTGTTGGCCCCACCATTTGTTGGCCCACCATTTGTTGGCCCACCATTTGTTGGTCCACCATTTGTTGGTCCACCATTTGTTGGCCCCACCATTTGTTGGCCCACCATTTGTTGGCCCACCATTTGTTGGCCCACCATTTGTTGGCCCACCATTTGTTGGCCCACCATTTGTTGGCCCACCATTTGTTGGCCCACCATTTGCTGGCCCAGTCTGTCCCACCATTTGTTGGCCCACCATTTGTTGGCCCACCATTTGTTGGCCCACCATTTGTTGGCCCCACCATTTGTTGGCCCCACCATTTGTTGGCCCACCATTTGTTGGCCCACCATTTGTTGGTCCACCATTTGTTGGTCCACCATTTGTTGGCCCACCATTTGTTGGCCCAGTCTGCCGGGCCCCACCATTTGTTGGCCCACCATTTGTTGGCCCACCATTTGTTGGCCCACCATTTGTTGGCCCACCATTTGTTGGCCCACCATTTGTTGGCCCACCATTTGTTGGCCCAGTTTGTCCCACCATTTATGTGCCCCACCATTTGTTGGCCCTGTCTGCCCCACCATTTGTTGGCCCACCATTTGTTGGCCCTGTCTGCCCCACCATTTGTTGGCCCAGTCTGTCCCACCATTTGATGTCCCACCATTTGTTGGCCCAGTCTGTCCCACCATTTGTTGGCCCAGTCTGTCCCACCATTTATGTGCCACACCATTTGTTGGCCCTGTCTGCCCCACCATTTGTTGGCCCACCATTTGTTGGCCCTGTCTGCCCCACCATTTGTTGGCCCACCATTTGTTGGCCCACCATTTGTTGGCCCACCATTTGTTGGCCCACCATTTGTTGGCCCCACCATTTGTTGGCCCAGTCTGTCCCACCATTTGATGTCCCACCATTTGTTGGCCCAGTCTGTCCCACCATTTGATGTCCCACCATTTGTTGGCCCACCATTTGTTGGCCCTGTCTGCCCCACCATTTGTTGGCCCAGTCTGTCTCACCATTTGTTGGCCTACCATTTGCTGGCCCAGTCTGTCCCACCATTTGTTGGCCCACCATTTGTTGGCCCACCATTTGTTGGCCCACCATTTGTTGGCCCACCATTTGTTGGCCCACCATTTGTTGGCCCACCATTTGTTGGCCCACCATTTGTTGGCCCACCATTTGTTGGTCCACCATTTGTTGGCCCACCATTTGTTGGCCCACCATTTGTTGGCCCACCATTTGTTGGTCCACCATTTGTTGGCCCACCATTTGTCGGCCCACCATTTGTTGTCCCAGTCTGCCGGGCCCCACCATTTGTTGGCCCACCATTTGCTGGCCCAGTCTGTCCCAACATTTGATGCCCCACCATTTGTTGGCCCACCATTTGTTGGCCCACCATTTGTTGGCCCACCATTTGTTGGCCCACCATTTGTTGGCCCACCATTTGTTGGTCCACCATTTGTTGGCCCACCATTTGTTGGCCCACCATTTGTTGGCCCACCATTTGTTGGCCCAGTCTGTCCCACTATTTATGTGCCCCACCATTTGTTGGCCCTGTCTGCCCCACCATTAGTTGGCCCACCATTTGTTGGCCCTGTCTGCCCCACCATTTGTTGGCCCAGTCTGTCCCACCATTTGATGTCCCACCATTTGTTGGCCCAGTCAGTCCCACCATTTGTTGGCCCAGTCTGCCGGGCCCCACCATTTGTTGGCCCACCATTTGTTGGCCCACCATTTGTTGGCCCACCATTTGTTGGCCCACCATTTGTTGGCCCAATCTGTCCCACCATTTATGTGCCCCACCATTTGTTGGCCCTGTCTGCCCCACCATTTGTTGGCCCACCATTTGTTGGCCCTGTCTGCCCCACCATTTGTTGGCCCAGTCTGTCTCACCATTTGTTGGCCTACCATTTGCTGGCCCAGTCTGTCCCACCATTTGTTGGCCCACCATTTGTTGGCCCACCATTTGTTGGCCCTGTCTGCCCCACCATTTGTTGGCCCAGTCTGTCTCACCATTTGTTGGCCTACCATTTGCTGGCCCAGTCTGTCCCACCATTTGTTGGCCCACCATTTGTTGGCCCACCATTTGTTGGCCCAGTCTGTCCCACCATTTATGTGCCCCACCATTTGTTGGCCCTGTCTGCCCCACCATTTGTTGGCCCACCATTTGTTGGCCCTGTCTGCCCCACCATTTGTTGGCCCAGTCTGTCTCACCATTTGTTGGCCCACCATTTGTTGGCCCAGTCTGTCCCACCATTTGATGTCCCACCATTTGTTGGCCCACCATTTGTTGGCCCTGTCTGCCCCACCATTTGTTGGCCCAGTCTGTCTCACCATTTGTTGGCCTACCATTTGCTGGCCCAGTCTGTCCCACCATTTGTTGGCCCACCATTTGTTGGCCCACCATTTGTTGGCCCACCATTTGTTGGCCCCACCATTTGTTGGCCCACCATTTGTTGGCCCACCATTTGTTGACCCACCATTTGTTGGCCCACCATTTGTTGGCCCACCATTTGTTTGTCCACCATTTGTTGGCCCACCATTTGTTGGCCCACCATTTGTTGGCCCACCATTTGTTGGTCCACCATTTATTGGCCCACCATTTGTTGGCCCACCATTTATTGGCCCAGTCTGCCGGGCCCCACCATTTGTTGGCCCACCATTTGTTGGTCCACCATTTGTTGGCCCACCATTTGCTGGCCCAGTCTGTCCCACCATTTGATGCCCCACCATTTGTTGGCCCACCATTTGTTGGCCCACCATTTGTTGGCCCACCATTTGTTGGCCCACCATTTGTTGGCCCACCATTTGTTGGCCCACCATTTGTTGGCCCACCATTTGTTGGCCCACCATTTGTTGGCCCACCATTTGTTGGCCCACCATTTGTTGGTCCACCATTTGTTGGCCCACCATTTGTTGGCCCACCATTTGTTGGCCCACCATTTGTTGGCCCACCATTTGTTGGTCCACCATTTGTTGGCCCACCATTTGTCGGCCCACCATTTGTTGTCCCAGTCTGCCGGGCCCCACCATTTGTTGGCCCACCATTTGCTGGCCCAGTCTGTCCCAACATTTGATGCCCCACCATTTGTTGGCCCACCATTTGTTGGCCCACCATTTGTTGGCCCACCATTTGTTGGCCCACCATTTGTTGGCCCACCATTTGTTGGTCCACCATTTGTTGGCCCACCATTTGTTGGCCCACCATTTGTTGGCCCACCATTTGTTGGCCCAGTCTGTCCCACTATTTATGTGCCCCACCATTTGTTGGCCCTGTCTGCCCCTCCATTAGTTGGCCCACCATTTGTTGGCCCTGTCTGCCCCACCATTTGTTGGCCCAGTCTGTCCCACCATTTGATGTCCCACCATTTGTTGGCCCAGTCAGTCCCACCATTTGTTGGCCCAGTCTGCCGGGCCCCACCATTTGTTGGCCCACCATTTGTTGGCCCACCATTTGTTGGCCCACCATTTGTTGGCCCACCATTTGTTGGCCCAATCTGTCCCACCATTTATGTGCCCCACCATTTGTTGGCCCTGTCTGCCCCACCATTTGTTGGCCCACCATTTGTTGGCCCTGTCTGCCCCACCATTTGTTGGCCCAGTCTGTCTCACCATTTGTTGGCCTACCATTTGCTGGCCCAGTCTGTCCCACCATTTGTTGGCCCACCATTTGTTGGCCCTGTCTGCCCCACCATTTGTTGGCTCAGTCTGTCTCACCATTTGTTGGCCTACCATTTGCTGGCCCAGTCTGTCCCACCATTTGTTGGCCCACCATTTGTTGGCCCACCATTTGTTGGCCCAGTCTGTCCCACCATTTATGTGCCCCACCATTTGTTGGCCCTGTCTGCCCCACCATTTGTTGGCCCACCATTTGTTGGCCCTGTCTGCCCCACCATTTGTTGGCCCAGTCTGTCTCACCATTTGTTGGCCCACCATTTGTTGGCCCAGTCTGTCCCACCATTTGATGTCCCACCATTTGTTGGCCCACCATTTGTTGGCCCTGTCTGCCCCACCATTTGTTGGCCCAGTCTGTCTCACCATTTGTTGGCCTACCATTTGCTGGCCCAGTCTGTCCCACCATTTGTTGGCCCACCATTTGTTGGCCCACCATTTGTTGGCCCACCATTTGTTGGCCCCACCATTTGTTGGCCCACCATTTGTTGGCCCACCATTTGTTGACCCACCATTTGTTGGCCCACCATTTGTTGGCCCACCATTTGTTTGTCCACCATTTGTTGGCCCACCATTTGTTGGCCCACCATTTGTTGGCCCACCATTTGTTGGTCCACCATTTATTGGCCCACCATTTGTTGGCCCACCATTTATTGGCCCAGTCTGCCGGGCCCCACCATTTGTTGGCCCACCATTTGTTGGTCCACCATTTGTTGGCCCACCATTTGCTGGCCCAGTCTGTCCCACCATTTGATGCCCCACCATTTGTTGGCCCACCATTTGTTGGCCCACCATTTGTTGGCCCACCATTTGTTGGCCCACCATTTGTTGGCCCACCATTTGTTGGTCCACCATTTGTTGGCCCACCATTTGTTGGCCCTCCATTTGTTGGCCCACCATTTGTTGGTCCACCATTTGTTGGCCCACCATCTGTTGGCCTACCATTTGTTGGCCCAGTCTGCCGGGCCCCACCATTTGTTGGCCCACCATTTGTTGGCCCACCATTTGCTGGCCCAGTCTGTCCCACCATTTGATGCCCCACCATTTGTTGGCCCACCATTTGTTGGCCCACCATTTGTTGCCCCACCATTTGTTGGCCCACCATTTGTTGGCCCACCATTTGTTGGCCCACCATTTGTAGCCCACCATTTGTTGGCCCCACCATTTGTTGGCCCAGTCTGACTGGCCCCACCATTTGTTAACCCAGTTTGCCGGGCCCCTACCATTTGCCGCGACAACCCCGGGCTTTAGACTGAAAGGAAAGAGAGCTTTGTTTTGAATTAACATCTCCATCGAACTATCGACCGTACACGGGTAGAGCTATGTTCCTGATTGGATCTTTTTTTTTAGTCAGAGTTATCGAACATCAATACGACGAGTTGGATGTTTGAAAGGCGAACAGCGACATAATAAAATTCTGATTTTTTACACTCTCTGATGGGGCAATGAATGATGACATACTGGGATAATAGATACATAATTTTAAAATGGCGCTGCGTTTAATTGAAATTAAGGTTTTTCTGTAAAAAATAGACACAACCTAGGTCTGTATGAATAGACATTTAAATAAAACGTGTTTCTTTTTGGAACTAACATAAACAGAACTAAGTCCTACTAAATTTCCTACTTTTCCTACATTTGAAGATGGACATTTTTAAAAACTTTTTTTACAATTTATAAATGCTAGATTCGACTTTCGATTTTGATCAGCCCATTTAAAAATTGTTTTCACACAGAAGTGAGTTATCAACTGGTGCAAATGGTCGAATAAGATTTGTTGATGCGCTTCGTTTTGTTGAGATTTTTTTTTTACTGTACTTGACTGTGTTTCACTGTATTTGGTTATTGGATTGTAATTGACTATATTTGACTGTATTTGGCTTTGTTTGTATTTGTTTGTATTTGACTGTATTTGACAGTATTTTATTGTAAAGTATTGCTAATGATTGTTTAAGATTACATAGCGTTACCTCGTATTATCGGATTATATCCTAGTATATCGGATTATGTCGGATTTTGTTGGAATATATCGAAGTATGTTGGGTTTTGTTGGAATATATCGAATTATGTTGGGTTTTGTTGGAATATATCGAATTATGTTGGGTTTTGTTGGAATATATCGAATTATGTTGGGTTTTGTTGGAATATATCGAATTATGTTGGGTTTTGTTGGAATATATCGAATTATGTTGGGTTTTGTTGGAATATATCGAAGTATGTTGGGTTTTGTTGGAATATATCGAATTATGTTGGGTTTTGTTGGAATATATCGAATTATGTTGGGTTTTGTTGGAATATATCGAAGTATGTTGGGTTTTGTTGGAATATATCGAATTATGCTGGTTTTGTTGGAATATATCGAATTATGTTGGGTTTTGTTGGAATATATCGAAGTATGTTGGGTTTTGTTGGAATATATCGAATTATGCTGGTTTTGTTGGAATATATCGAATTATGTTGGGTTTTGTTGGAATATATTGAATTATGTTGGGTTTTGTTGGAATATATCGAATTATGTTGGGTTTTGTTGGAATATATCGAATTATGTTGGGTTTTGTTGGAATATATCGAATTATGTTGGGTTTTGTTGGAATATATCGAATTATGTTGGGTTTTGTTGGAATATATCGAATTATGTTGGGTTTTGTTGGAATATATCGAATTATGTTGGGTTTTGTTGGAATATATCGAATTATGTTGGGTTTTGTTGGAATATATCGAATTATGTTGGGTTTTGTTGGAATATATCGAATTATGTTGGGTTTTGTTGGAATATATCGAATTATGTTGGGTTTTGTTGGAATATATCGAATTATGTTGGGTTTTGTTGGAATATATCGAATTATGTTGGGTTTTGTTGGAATATATCGAATTATGTTGGGTTTTGTTGGAATATATCGAATTATGTTGGGTTTTGTTGGAATATATCGAATTATGTTGGGTTTTGTTGGAATATATCGAATTATGTTGGGTTTTGTTGGAATATATCCAATTATGTTGGGTTTTGTTGGAATATATCGAATTATGTTGGGTTTTGTTGGAATATATCGAATTATGTTGGGTTTTGTTGGAATATATGGAATTATGTTGGGTTTTGTTGGAATATATCGAATTATGCTGGTTTTGTTGGAATATATCGAATTATGTTGGGTTTTGTTGGAATATATCGAATTATGTTGGGTTTTGTTGGAATATATCGAATAATGCTGGTTTTGTTGGAATATATCGAATTATGTTGGGTTTTGTTGGAATATATCGAATTATGTTGGGTTTTGTTGGAATATATCGAATTATGTTGGGTTTTGTTGGAATATATCGAATTATGTTGGGTTTTGTTGGAATATATCGAATTATGCTGGTTTTGTTGGAATATATCGAATTATGTTGGGTTTTGTTGGAATATATCGAATTATGTTGGGTTTTGTTGGAATATATCGAATTATGTTGGGTTTTGTTGGAATATATCGAATTATGTTGGGTTTTGTTGGAATATATCGAATTATGTTGGGTTTTGAATTACTTTGCGAAAAGACTTGTTGGGGATACGTAGAGGAAATATCGGTAGGTGAGTGTGGGGGGGGGGGTATGTTCGGATGTTTTTGTGTTGTAGATTGATTTGGTGGTGTTATTATAGCATTATGTTGTGCTGTCAATGTGTTATTATCGCATTACGTTATGTTGTGATTATTCAGCTACACTGTACTTGTATTGTATTGAACCTGTTATTATTCGCTTTTCTGGTGACTCGTACTAACAGAACACTTTCAGTGGAGGGGCAGGTAAGGTATGGGTGGGGGGGGGGGGGCTAGAGGGTGGCATCAGTTTCAATGAAGGGGGGAAAACACTTTGGGCCATGTGACTATAAGAAAATTTAATCCTAAAAACTTTTATTTACATTACTGTATTTGATTTTGATAGATTTTTCAAAGATAATTATAATAGTCTCGTCTAGTAATTTATAATTGTTTGACAATTTTTTGTAACGGGTGGTTTAAATAAAAGGAACGCTGCACAAATTATAACATAAACAGCGGGGGTGGTGATGTATTGTTTTATTAATTTAGTGTTATATGGTGTGAGGTGGGGATGCACCGTCTGGCTATTTAACAATTCTGTTTTATTTTCACTATTTTAACAAATGTTGCCACTTGTTAAAATGTTATTTCTGGAACTCGAGGCGCTCTACCATAGAGTGAGATCGATATTTGAAACGTGATCTACAGCTCTTGTTTTGTCAGTTTTGATGATCTATAATTTACACATGTCATTTTTCCAATTGTCTTGTATGTGCAATTCTTTAGTTATGTGGCGGCCTCGTGCGAAGAATATGAGAACGTTTTGTTGTGGGAGGTGGTGGTAGTCAGTGTTTCTTCCAGACTTTGTTCTCCGGGTTGGGAGGATGGGGGGGGGGGGGGCTTTAAATTTTCTGAGGGGGGAGACGGAGCGCCCCCGAAAAGATGCATGGTGGTGACTAATCGTAACGGTTTATGATGACGTTATATGGTGGGGTGGGTCAAGTGTGTGGTCCTTAATGTGTTACATAGTGTGGGCACGATCCTTTAGTACAATTATTTTATGTATTTCTTATATTATGATTACATTATTTTATAATTTTAAAATATATGTAGACGATACAATTAATATTAACATAAAATAAATTGTATATTATTTCTCTCACCATTCTGCTATGTTCATTATTCATTCCCGGTCTTAATCAACAACTTAGAAATTACAATATTTTTTTTACAATCGCCCTCGCCCCCCCCCCCCTCCGCCATAAATTAAAAAAGTACAATAAGAATGTTAATATGTACTATAATAATTGAAATAGCTCCCGACCTGGACGTTTCAAATACACCCCCCCCCCCCCCCTGAGAAAAAAATGTCTAAAAGAAACTCCTCTGGTATTATCCCTGTATTAAACACAAAGCTGACGTGCTTGATAACGCCCCCCCCCCCCCTCTCCCCCTAACCTCGCACCCCCAGGGCTAAGGAACCGACAGACCGGATCCCACGGGCTGAACGAGTTCTCCAGCCGGTCCCACAGCATCCTCACGGTCACGGTCGACTCGGAGACTCAAGCGGAACCGGAAGACGACAATCTTTACGTCACAAAGCGCGGGAAGTTATCGTTCGTTGACCTAGCTGGTATGTTTTGTGTATTTGTATTTGTATTATGTTTATGTGTGTATTTGTATTCGTATTATGTTTTTGTGTGTATTTGTATTTGTAATATGTTTTTGTGTGTATGTTTTTGTGTGTACGTTTTTATGTTAAGAAAACTTTCCAGTTATGTAGATCGAAGCCAACTTCAGTGATTAATAAAATATTTATTCAAGGTATTATTCTAAAACTTGCAAATAAAATTTTAGCCTTATATAAATTGGTTAAAAAGTTGGGGATGTTAAAAACTTGTTTTTGTGATGTTTGAGTACAGATACCAATGTTGTTTCCCGCCTTCTGCCACGTCACCAAACGATATTTTTATCCCCAGGCAGCGAGAAGGTCAGGGACTCAACGTCCACGGGCGGGCCGGGTATGGTGGAGTCCAACAGCATCAACAAAAGTTTGTTAGTTTTAGGTGAGTCTTGGGCTTACAGTGTTAGTTTTAGGTGAGTCTTGTGCTAACAGTGTTAGTTTTAGGTGAGTCTTGGGCTTACAGTGTTAGTTTTAGGTGAGTCTTGTGCTAACAGTGTTAGTTTTAGGTGAGTCTTGGGCTTACAGTGTTAGTTTTAGGTGAGTCTTGGGCTTACAGTGTTAGTTTTAGGTGAGTCTTGGGCTTACAGTGTTAGTTTTAGGTGAGTCTTGGGCTTACAGTGTTAGTTTTAGGTGAGTCTTGGGCTTACAGTGTTAGTTTTAGGTGAGTCTTGGCTTACAGTGTTAGTTTTAGGTGAGTCTTGGGCTTACAGTGTTAGTTTTAGGTGAGTCTTGGGCTTACAGTGTTAGTTTTAGGTGAGTCTTGGGCTTACAGTCTTAGTTTTAGGTGAGTCTTGGGCTTACAGTGTTAGTTTTAGGTGAGTCTTGGGCTTACAGTGTTAGTTTTAGGTGAGTCTTGGGCTTACAGTGTTAGTTTTAGGTAAGTCTTGCACTTACAGTGTTAGTTTTAGGTGAGTCTTGGGCTTACAGTGTTAGTTTTAGGTGAGTCTTGGGCTTACAGTGTTAGTTTTAGGTAAGTCTTGCACTTACAGTGTTAGTTTTAGGTGAGTCTTGGGCTTACAGTGTTAGTTTTAGGTGAGTCTTGGGCTTACAGTGTTAGTTTTAGGTGAGTCTTAGGCTTACAGTGTTAGTTTTAGGTGAGTCTTGGGCTTACAGTGTTAGTTTTAGGTAAGTCTGGGGCTTACAGTGTTAGTTTTAGGTAAGTCTTGGGCTTACAGTGTTAGTTTTAGGTGAGTCTTGGGCTTACAGTGTTAGTTTTAGGGAAGTCTGCTGCTTACAGTGTTAGTTTTAGGTAAGTCTGGGGCTTACAATGTTAGTTTTAGGTAAGTCTGGGGCTTACAGTGTTAGTTTTAGGTAAGTCTTGGGCTTACAGTGTTAGTTTTAGGTGAGTTTTGGGCTTACAGTGTTAGTTTTAGGTAAGTCTGCTGCTTACAGTGTTAGTTTTAGGTGAGTCTTGGGCTTACAGTGTTAGTTTTAGGTGAGTCTTGGGCTTACAGTGTTAGTTTTAGGTGAGTCTTGGGCTTACAGTGTTAGTTTTAGGTAAGTCTGCTGCTTACAGTGTTAGTTTTAGGTGAGTCTTGGGCTTACAGTGTTAGTTTTAGGTAAGTCTGCTGCTTACAGTGTTAGTTTTAGGTGAGTCTTGGGCTTACAGTGTTAGTTTTAGGTAAGTCTTGGGCTTACAGTGTTAGTTTTAGGTGAGTCTTGGGCTTACAGTGTTATTTTTAGGTGAGTCTTGGGCTTACAGTGTTAGTTTTAGGTAAGTCTTGGGCTTACAGTGTTAGTTTTAGGTGAGTCTTGGGCTTACAGTGTTAGTTTTAGGTGAGTCTTGGGCTTACAGTGTTAGTTTTAGGTGAGTCTTGGGCTTACAGTGTTAGTTTTAGGTAAGTCTTGCACTTACAGTGTTAGTTTTAGGTGAGTCTTGGGCTTACAGTGTTAGTTTTAGGTGAGTCTTGGGCTTACAGTGTTAGTTTTAGGTAAGTCTTGCACTTACAGTGTTAGTTTTAGGTGAGTCTTGGGCTTACAGTGTTAGTTTTAGGTGAGTCTTGGGCTTACAGTGTTAGTTTTAGGTGAGTCTTAGGCTTACAGTGTTAGTTTTAGGTGAGTCTTGGGCTTACAGTGTTAGTTTTAGGTAAGTCTGGGGCTTACAGTGTTAGTTTTAGGTAAGTCTTGGGCTTACAGTGTTAGTTTTAGGTGAGTCTTGGGCTTACAGTGTTAGTTTTAGGGAAGTCTGCTGCTTACAGTGTTAGTTTTAGGTAAGTCTGGGGCTTACAATGTTAGTTTTAGGTAAGTCTGGGGCTTACAGTGTTAGTTTTAGGTAAGTCTTGGGCTTACAGTGTTAGTTTTAGGTGAGTTTTGGGCTTACAGTGTTAGTTTTAGGTAAGTCTGCTGCTTACAGTGTTAGTTTTAGGTGAGTCTTGGGCTTACAGTGTTAGTTTTAGGTGAGTCTTGGGCTTACAGTGTTAGTTTTAGGTGAGTCTTGGGCTTACAGTGTTAGTTTTAGGTAAGTCTGCTGCTTACAGTGTTAGTTTTAGGTGAGTCTTGGGCTTACAGTGTTAGTTTTAGGTAAGTCTGCTGCTTACAGTGTTAGTTTTAGGTGAGTCTTGGGCTTACAGTGTTAGTTTTAGGTAAGTCTTGGGCTTACAGTGTTAGTTTTAGGTGAGTCTTGGGCTTACAGTGTTAGTTTTAGGTGAGTCTTGGGCTTACAGTGTTAGTTTTAGGTAAGTCTTGGGCTTACAGTGTTAGTTTTAGGTAAGTCTTGGGCTTACAGTGTTAGTTTTAGGTGAGTCTTGGGCTTACAGTGTTAGTTTTAGGTGAGTCTTGTGCTTACAGTGTTAGTTTTAGGTGAGTCTTGGGCTTACAGTGTTAGTTTTAGGTGAGTCTTGGGCTTACAGTGTTAGTTTTAGGTAAGTCTGCTGCTTACAGTGTTAGTTTAGGTGAGTCTTGGGCTTACCTTTTAGACAATTAGTTTTTATAGTTTTATTTTTTAAAAATGTCAAAATCCACGTCTCTCTCTCTCTCTATCAAACAATTGCACAGGTAACTGTATCTCTCACCTGTGTGATTCCAAGAAACGTCAAGGTCATATCCCGTACAGGGACAGCAAGCTGACCAAACTGTTGTCAGACAGCTTAGGGGGTAATGGTATCACTTTAATGGTGAGTTGAAGGGTTTATGTTAATGTTGTGTTGGGCCGGAGGGGTGGTGGGTATTCGTTTATCTTTAATAATGGATAATGGGATCCCTTTGAGTTTTACGGTAAAGGGGCCAATTTAATTACATGTCGAGGTATTGATGTTACCTTAACAATGAGTTGAGAACAACGGAATACCGCTGATATATTTCCCAACGTTGTCACCAGATTGCCTGCATCACCCCCTCCTCCTCCAACGTGACTGAGACCCTAAACACCTTACGGTACGCCAGTCGGGCGAAGAAGATCAAAACTAAACCCACGGTGAAGATGGTGAGTAGCTTCTGCTTTGGCGTAATAGATGGTGAGTAGCTACTACTTAGGCATACAAGATGGTGAGTAGCTTCTACTTTGGCATACCAGATGGTGAGTAGCTTCTACTTTGGTATTCGATCATTATTGCCATACATAGCTGTGAATCCTGTAACCAGAAAGACTCTACCTCACCTACACCATGGATGGTCTGTAGGTTATTATAGAGTATTGAGAGGTATGGATAGCTTGGACATTATGTTAGTACTGTGATTGTTACGTTAGTGACAGCTTACTGTAGGGACGTTGAGTTGCTACATACAACCTATGCCTACAACATGGTAATAATTTAATTTACAGGGGAGGTAATCCATGTGTCAAAATTAATTACGTCCCTTGTTGATTTAAAAAAATTGTGATTGGTAAAATGTATAATTACAGTTTTTTAAGATTGTTTTGTTTTGCCGGTTGCGACAGTAATCAATAATTGGATTTTATTGATTGATTAGTTTGATTGATTTCTTTATTTTAGGACCCTCGTGAAAAACTCATCTTAAGTCTCAAGAAAGAAGTGAGGATATTACGTCAGGAGAATCACTACCTCCGTCAACAGGTAGGTAGACAGGGATAGTGACGTCAGCCAGTAGGTAGACAGGGACTGTGACGTCAACAGGTAGGTAGACAGGGATAGTGACGTCAGCCAGTAGGTAGATTGGGTGAGTAACGTCAACAGGTAGGTAGACAGGGTCAACGACGGTCCCTGAGATCACCCAGCTCTGATGGGTACCTGACTCACGTTAGGGTAAGTGAAGACGACTGGACATAGTACCAACCACACTATCTCATCATATGCCGAAATCATAGAAACAGGTAAAATTTACTTCGCCTGCCCCATTGACCGCCAGGTTCGAAAGGGTAATTTGACATTTTAATATGGTTAAATATATTTTAGGAATGAAATGCTTACCGCGTACGTCTAGACTGTTACAAAAAAAAAAAAACAACTTCTCTCTTGTTATAATGTAGCTTGACTTCCCGGCCAAACCAAAGGGACAACTGCAAAAAGAAAACGACGAAAAGTTCCGGAAGTTCATGAAGGAGCAGACGCAGAAGGAGACTGGGCTCTACGACATGTTGCAGGAGTACATGATCGAGAACGAGGCTCTCAGGTAACTTCCGGCTACACAATAATTGTTGTGTCCCAGAGGTAACTTCCGGCTACACAATATATTTGTTGTAGATCAGGGATCGGACCTTAAATAGTTTCGAATATGAAACTAAATATTTGATTTTTTTTTCCAGGGCGGAAAACTCGGAGATGCATTCGGTGAAAGAAAGTTCCAGAAGAGAGCAGCAGATTTTGTACAGAGAAAATGAGACCTTAACACGGAGGGTGGAGGAATTAGAGAGGTGAGTGAGACTTGGAGGGTGGTGGAGGTAGAGAGGTGATTGAGACTTGGAGGGTGGGGGAGGTAGAGAGGTGAGTGAGACTTGGAGGGTGGGGGGTAGGGAGGTAAGTGAGACTTGGAGGGTGGGGGAGGTAGAGAGGCGAGTGAGACGGAGGGTGGGGGAGGTAGAGAGGTGAGTGAGACTTGGAGGGTGGGGGAGGTAGAGAGGTGAGTGAGACGGGGGGTGGGAGAGGTAGAGAGGTGAGTGAGACTTGGAGGGTGGGGGAGGTAGAGAGGTGAGTGAGACTTGGAGGGTAGGGGAGGTAGAGAGGTGAGTGAGACTTGGAGGGTGGGGGGTAGGGAGGTAAGTGAGACTTGGAGGGTGGGGGAGGTAGAGAGGTGAGTGAGACGGAGGGTGGGGGGTAGGGAGGTGAGTGAGACGCAGGGTGGGGGAGGTAGAGAGGCGAGTGAGACGGAGGGTGGGGGAGGTAGAGAGGTGAGTGAGACTTGGAGGGTGGGGGGTAGGGAGGTGAGTGAGACTTAGAGGGTGGGGGAGGTAGAGAGGTGAGTGAGACGGAGGGTGGGAGAGGTAGAGAGGTGAGTGAGACGGAGGGTGGGGGAGGTAGAGAGGTGAGTGAGACTTGGAGGGTGGGGGAGGTAGAGAGGTGAGTGAGACTTGGAGGGTGGGGGAGGTAGAGAGGTGAGTGAGACGGAGGGTGGGGGAGGTAGAGAGGTGAGTGAGACTTGGAGGGTGGGGGAGGTAGAGAGGTGAGTGAAACTTGGAGGGTGGGGAGGGTAGAGAGGTGAGTGAAACTTGGAGGGTGGGGAGGGTAGAGAGGTGAGTGAGACTTGAATGGTTGAATGACAAGGGGAGAGAAACTAGAAGCAGTAGCGTAGATTGATGAGATGCTTCTCCTGACCGCACCCAGCAAGACTAAACTACCAATGAAGGTTGAAATAAAAACAGGAAACATGTTAGAACAAAGAAAACAGTGACAGAATTGTAAACAAAATTAATCATTGCTGCTTTTATTTTTAGTTTTTGTGAAAAAAAAAACCCGCAAGTTTCCTTTTAACAGAGCTGTGTGTCATTTGATAATGTTTGTTCACACACTCAAAGTTCCATAGTGAGTGATATTATGACTTAGTGTGTTGAGAGACTATGTGGCCAGTACACAGGTTATCTAAGAGAAACTTGACGTAGAACCTCAACACCAGAGGCGTATCCAGGTTTTCGTTGTAGGGTGAGCGAAAAGAGCAAAAAGAGGCGCCGAATTTATATATATATATATATATATATATATATATATATATATATATATATATATATATATATAATTACTAGCTCATTACTTCGGTATGATGTAAAATAAGTTGATAGTAGCACTCTGAAGAAATAAGAAAAAACACACAATGTAGGCCGACAAAGCAAAAAATGTACCAATCTGAACAAAACAAAAAAAAAATATATACACACACTACAACCAAAAACAATGAACGCAACACAATCTGTTTTGTAATTCTTGTAAAAAAATTTTTTTACATAATAATTCCTGGGACATTAATTAAGACAAGCGAAATAGGGGAAATAACTACTTTCTTAATATAAATATGTATATATCTACACATTTAATTACACATGTCAAAATAAATCAATAATTACTTTAAAGTATAATACAGTTGTTTAACACTATTCGTGTTTACAAACTTTTTTTTGTCTACAATCAGAATTAAATATATTGTCATAATAAATGCTAAAGTATCACAGCATAATGAAAGTTTTTAAAATCAGTGTTGGTATAAAACCACGATTTTCAGTATTTTAGATAAACATTCGGAATAATAGCCTACATTTAGCTAAAGGATCGGTCTTTTATTTCACATCGTACAATTATTAATTGGCTACTGCTTTTTGTGTTTTTTAGACATCATTTTTTTAACATAGTGATCAGGTATGGGTTAGATCACTATATTGCTCACACACCTTTTTACTGGTAATTGCAACAACAATATTCACAGAGTTTTACGTTTAAAAAGTTAATTTTCTGGCGGCATGGTACTTTGGTACACCATTACGCGTTTTCCCCAATGTACTTAACAGATGGGTTCGGGTGGGTTGGGGGGGGGGGGGTCAACTTCATTCACCACTGTCCGGTCACTTTAGGACAATCATCCAACCCAGTGCATACCTAGGTGTGACATTAATGTCGCTCTACACAATTGTGGTGGTGAGGTGTGTGTGTGGGGGGAGGGACGGGGACGGGGACGGGAATAACCAACTCAGAGTGAACATAGCGTCAGTTTTTAGATGACTGTTCTAAACATACATATTCAATTACACATGTATACTGATTCAGAAATAGATTTAAATAAGTAGAAGTGGTATTATGACAATAATTTTCTTTACAGAGGGGTCCATGGGGGGAGGGGGGTTGTAACTGTTTCATATAATTTGTAGTCGTAATCACTATCGCCCAAACTGTCATAATACTACTACTTCATCGTGATGGCGTTGTTGACCTTGTCAAAATTTCCCCCCCCCCCCCCCACCGCTACGCAGTTTGCACATAAGTAAATTTAAATAGAGGTGCCACATCAGTTGTATTTGTGTCTGTATTGTAATTTTAAAAAAAATAATTACACGATTCAAACTGTATATATAAAGTAATGATGTGTGAAGATTTATGTATAATATTTTCTAGATCAATTATTCTTAAGCAAATACATTATACAGTTGCCTTAAACTTAACACTCCTCTTGCCAAGTGGTACTACCCATAGAGGTTTTAAACATTGCATTGTAATGGTTATTTTTAGAATGATAAAATGATACAGCTGTTAATACGTGTTGTAAACGTAGACGCTACTAGACTAGTACAATTATGCTTAAATGCTGCATGAAAAGAAATCTTGTGATTTACATAGACATAGTAAAAAGGTGTGTGAGCAATATAGTGATCTAACCCATACCTGATCACCATGTTAAAAAATGATCTTTAAAGAACACAAAAAGCAGTTGTTAATTAAAAAATGTACGATCTGAACTAAAAGACCGATCTTTTAGCTAAATGTAGGCTATTATTCCGAATGTTTATCTAATATATAGAAAATCGTGGTTTTATACCAACACTGATTTTAAAAAAAACTTTCATTATGCTGTAATACTTTAGTTGTCACAACCGAAAATAATTTTCTAACAAAAATCATTGTTTAAAACTGAGTTTAAAAAGTTTCCAAAAAGGCGCCACTTTGCTGAAAATGGCCAGAGGGGGAGCGGCTGCTCTCCCTACTCCCCCCCCCCCACCCCTGCATACGCTACTGCTCAACACATTCTTGACTTACCCAATGTGTTACCTTGTGTCATGTCGGCAGGCTGATGTCGGAAAATCCTGGCACCTGGGCGCTCTACGACCCCCGGAGACACGACGGTTACGGTCAGCAAGACATATCCCCCCGGGGGTCACCCGTCAATGTTGGATACAACAGTCCGCCCAACCGCTCGAGTGTTGGATACAACAGTCCTCCGAATCGCAACGTGTTTCGTCCTGTAAGTTTTTATTTCCTGACCAGTCAATAAACGGGGTTTGTGGGCAAATCTTTTCTAATGTGACGCCTTATCTTTTCTATTGTAAATAGGCGACGAATGTATGTATATATATATATATATATATATATATATATATATATATATATATATATATATATTTATATATATATATATATATGTATATGTATATATATATATATATATATATATATATATATATATATATATATATATATATATATATATATATATATATACATATTTATATATATAATGTATCAATACCTTAAGTAACGAGAAATGAATATTTGAATACAACAGATTGGTGTCTCTGGTCCAAATGGTGTTGGGCCACCCAAAAATGTATCACCTGTCGCCCACAACCAACCCATGCGGCCCCCTCACAGGTTGTCTGACCACGTGACCAGACCAGCACCCAGGTAAAGTACTCACCTACATATCACGTGCCAATATCGGAGTGGGTATGTCAGTGCCTTCGTTACAAAATTGTAAATACTACTATGTTTCAGTACAAAAAAAATTAATACAGTAAGTGATACACGACAGCACTTTGTTATTACATTTGTATATTCATAGAACAGGAATTTATAGAAAAAGCTCATTATCAATAATAAATACCCATTGGCAAGCAATTAAAATTGTGTAACCAAATTGGCAATTAATTAAAATTGCGTAACCAAATTGGCAATTAATTAAAATTGTGTAACCAAATTGGCAATTAATTAAAATTGTGTAACCAAATTGGCAATTAATTAAAATTGTGTAACCAAATTGGCAATTAATTAAAATTGTGTAACCAAATTGGCAATTAATTAAAATTGTGTAACCATATTGGCAATTAATTAAAATTGTGTAACCAAATTGGCAATTAATTAAAATTGTGTAACCAAATTGGCAATTAATTAAAATTGTGTAACCATATTGGCAATTAATTAAAATTGTGTAACCAAATTGGCAATTAATTAAAATTGTGTAACCAAATTAGCAATTAATTAAAATTGTGTAACCAAATTGGCAGTTAATTAAAATTGTGTAACCAAATTGGCAAGCAATTAAAATTGTGTAACCAAATTGGCAAGCAAGTAAAATTGTGTAACCAAATTGGCAAGCAATTAAAATTGTGTAACCAAATTGGCAATTAATTAAAATTGTGTAACCAAATTGGCAAGCAATTAAAATTGTGTAGCCAAATTGGCAAGCAATTAAAATTGTGTAACCAAATAGGCAAGCAATTAAAATTGTGTAACCAAATTGGCAAGCAATTAAAATTGTGTAACCTAATTAGCAAGCAATTAAAATAGTGTAACCTAATTTGCAAGCAATTAAAATTGTATAATCTAATTAGCAAGCAATTAAAACTGTGTTAACCTAATTAGCAAGCAATTGAAATTGTGTAACCTAATAAGCAAGCAATTAAAATTGTGTAACCTAATTAAAAAGCAATTAAAATTGTGTAATGATCTCTGAAACAAAACATTGCCCACACTCCAGGCCTATCGAGTACGTGGAGACAAACTACAACAACGAACGTACGTCACCACGGCAGCCGGTGGTCGCTAGACAAGGAGGTAAGAACTTTGATTTACATGTAAGAGCTTACATATTCATTTGTCTTACATTGAGTGCTTACATATTCGTTTGTCTTACATTATGTGCTTACATATTCGTTTGTCTTACATTGTGTGCTTACATATTCGTTTGTCTTACATTGTTTGATTACAAAGCCATTTGTCTTATATTGTGTCTGTTTCTACATTCCTAAATAAATTATTGTTTCACTTAATCCTTAACTTACGCAGATTTGTCTACTATTTCCTAGATTTTATATCCTGCATGTATGATAAAGTGTAAATATCTATACCCCCCTTATGATGTTTTTATCATGATAATTCAGTCTCTATGTACATGACACCAGCGGTTAAATAAACCCATGTGTTTTATGTTGTTACATTTTACATTGTGTTGTATGACGTTTTATTCAGTCTGTTTTTACTGAAGTGTTGTAACATTTTTATCTGGCTCATTTGGATTTCTATAGATGGGAGACCCAGGTCAGCCACGTGACATTCAATTTCGGTGTTCTCGTGTTTTTTTTTTTTATTTTAATATTCTCACGATAATAAATGTTGATTTTTCATGTTTTTAAATCTTCTTGTTCTCACGATTTTTAATGTTGATGTTGATGTTTTTAAATTTTAATATTCCCACGATAATAAATGTTGATTGACTCATGTTTTTAAATTATAATGTTCTTACGAGTTCTAATGTTGATGTTCTGATGTTTTTAAATTTTCATGTTCTCACTATAAAAAATGTTGATGTTTTTAAATTTTTAAATTTTTATTTTCTCACGATTTCTAATGTTGATATTTTCATGTATTTTTAAATTTTTATTTTATCACGATTTCTAATGTTAATGTTTTTATGTTTTTAATTTTTTATGTTCTCACGATAAAAAAAATGTTGATTTTCTCATGTTTTTAAATTCTAATGTTCTTACGATGTTTAAAGTTGATGTTCTCGTGAGTTTTGAATTTACATGGTTTTTTCCTTGAGCACAATTTTTTTTATATACGCAAGCATTTTTCAGTGCTTATAATATTATCACTTTTGAATGTACAGCAACTTGAATTCACATTTAGATCTACACATTTTTAAATCTGTGGCTTTTAACGTTAGTTACGTCGCCATCTTTGTGGGCACGATGGTCATCATTTGATGTGTTTACTATTTTTACTGAATTCTTTTCACCAAAATTATTTAGCTAGTATTTTTACTGTCCAACTTTTTATCGCCAAATATTTTACGACCAAATATTTTAAATAAGATTTTCTTTACTTTTTTTTAACCTAATCACACTTTCCGCTCAAACAACTATACCAAAGCTATTTTATCCCCTATTGACTGATAAATATTTTCACCAAAACTATTTTAACCAAAAACATTTTTTAAAGTTTGAATTTTTTTACAATCAGATATGCCTACAATCAAATAATATTACAATGGATTTCAGGAACTATTAAATTTCTTGATACAAACAAATACGTTTTTCCGATAATATTTTTCCAATCGGATATTTTTAAAATAATAAAACAGTTTCACCGTCAAGTAGTTTTCCCATTGTAATCATATGTTTGCCCAAATAAATGAGGTGGGAAATTGTAGCTGAGCATTGACGTATTTCATTAAATCTGTTTTTTTTTAAATTGATCAGTAGATTTACATGCATAATTTTAGCCAGTTGTGAGTTTTAAAATCTTACTGGTCATCAGGTAATACAAGTCGAGCGGGGCGAAAAAAAACTAATGTAATTTTTATTTTGAATATTTTTTTTTTACCATACAACTTGGTGTTTTTTGTTAACAAACACAAATTTGACAGACCTGGTCCAAATTATAGCAATGTTTTTAGTTCTCACTAAATAGACCTTTCAATTTATTTCTACGCCTTTTTTCTGTTTTTAAAATCATTTATTTGATGTGTCTCTCCTTTATGGAGTCTTTAGATTGATTTAATGTTTGTAAAATTGTTTCGCATGATTCTTATTTTTAATTATGTTTCATATTTCGAATTTTTGTATCCATTTTAATTAAAAGAGTGTTTGATGTTAAAAAAATCATTGATATAATCTCCCACACAAAGTTAGCGTCTCATCTTGCCCCACGTGACCTTTGTTTTGGTTTCCATCCACAGTCGTCTCCCATCGTCCACTTGACCGGAAGTTGTCACAGGTATCACAGACAGGTAGGTCATCCTGGGGTATACGCTGCTGTGGTGTAGGAGGGGGGTGCATTGGTGTAGGAGGTGGGGAGGGGTGCATTGGAGTAGGAGGTGGGGTGCATTGGTGTAGGAGGTGGGGGGGGGAGCATGTGTGTAGGAGGTGGGGGTGCATTGGTGTAGGAGCTGGGGTGCATTGGTGTAGGTGGTGTGGGGTGCATTGGTGTAGGTGGTGGGGTGCATTGGTGTAGGAGGTGGGGTGCATTGGTGTAGGAGGTGGGGGTGCATTGGTGTAGGAGCTGGGGTGCATTGGTGTAGTAGGTGGGGGGGTGTGCATTGGTGTAGGAGGTGGGGGGGAGCATGTGTGTAGGAGGTGGGGGTGCATTGGTGTAGGAGCTGGGGTGCATTGGTGTAGGAGGTGGGGTGCATTGGTGTAGGAGGTGGGGGTGCATTGGTGTAGGAGCTGGGGTGCATTGGTGTAGGTGGTGTGGGGTGCATTGGTGTAGGTGGTGGGGTGCATTGGTGTAGGAGGTGGGGTGCATTGGTGTAGGAGGTGGGGGTGCATTGGTGTAGGAGCTGGGGTGCATTGGTGTAGTAGGTGGGGGGGGGGAGCATGTGTGTAGGAGGTGGGGGGGGGAGCATGTGTGTAGGAGGTGGGGGTGCATTGGTGTAGGAGCTGGGGTGCATTGGTGTAGTAGGTGGGGGGGAGCATGTGTGTAGGAGGTGGGGGTGCATTGGTGTAGGAGCTGGGGTGCATTGGTGTAGTAGGTGGGGGGGAGCATGTGTGTAGGAGGTGGGGGTGCATTGGTGTCAGAGGTGGGGGTGCATTTGTGTAGGTAGACACTGCTTCTATATAAATAACTTTAGAAATCTCTATGATAAAATCTCATGCTAACATTAGTTACTAGCAACATTATTAACATTGATAATACTAAATATATGTTTACGTAAATAATCGTTTGTATAAAGCAAGTGGAAACTTGTCATTTTTATCACCAAGCAAATGTTTTAAACATTCTAATTAGAGTGAATGATTGTACCTGTTATAAGCTATTTCTACCCATGTATTCATATTGTTGAGTTCAATATACTGGGTAAGTTTTACAAAAAGTTGTTCCACTATAAGCAGAAAGTTTTTTCTCCAACAGAACTGAACGAGCTGCTGCGGAAAGATCTGGAAGATTTGGACGGGGAGATAGAGCAGCAGACGAGAATAGCTCACACGTCACGTGGTGTTCCTACAGCCAATCACAGATGATTTGGGCCGTTTGTTTTTGTTACATGTGTAAAAATGTTACGATGTTGTGTTACCTTGTGAGTTGTAGTTGCAAGTTGATGTTTGTGAGTTGTAGTTGCAAGTTGATGTTTGTGAGTTGTAGTTGCAAGTTGATGTTTGTGAGTTGTAGTTGCAAGTTGATGTTTGTGAGTTGTAGTTACAAGTTGATGTTTGTGAGTTATAGTTACAAGTTGATGTTTGTGAGTTATAGTTGCAAGTTGATGTTTGTGAGTTGTAGTTGCAAGTTGATGTTTGTGAGTTGTAGTTGCAAGTTGATGTTTGTGAGTTGTAGTTGCAAGTTGATGTTTGTGAGTTGTAGTTGCAAGTTGATGTTTGTGAGTTGTAGTTACAAGTTGATGTTTGTGAGTTTTAGTTACAAGTTGATGTTTGTGAGTTGTAGTTACAAGTTGATGTTTGTGAGTTGTAGTTGCAAGTTGATGTTTGTGAGTTGTAGTTGCAAGTTGATGTTTGTGAGTTATAGTTGCAAGTTGATGTTTGTGAGTTGTAGTTGCAAGTTGATGTTTGTGAGTTGTAGTTGCAATTTGATGTTGCTGAAATGACGAGATCAGTTTGTACTGATGAGTGTGTGTTGTGATAATAATTTGTTGACATTTTGTGATATCAATGTTTAACAACAGATGCGGGGTTACTGTGATAACAATTGTTAACAATTCATTCACGGAAATGCTTGTTACTCAAAGAATGTGCGAATGGCAATTTGTGTTTCTGTTAAAATGTTAATACTCATCTTAGTTTTAGTAAGAGGTTGTAGATTAACTTAAGGCAAAATCGCTGTATACAATGAGAAAACTAAAAAAAAAACTTCTGAAATTGAAAACCAGTTAACTTCATTCTAAGCTAAAAGCTAAAAAAAAACTTGTACTAATTATATATTTTAAAATAGCTTTAGTTAGTTGTTAATCTGAGAATAAAACTGACTTCTTTACACAATTTAAACGTGTACAAAAATTATCGTGCTAATACAGATAGCTTTTGGGACGGCGTGGCCTAGCGATAGAGCGTTAAACTGCTAACCCAAAAGTTTCGAGTTCGAATCTGGGTTCAAGTCAGTAGAACGTCCCTGAGTCCACCCAGATCTGATGGGTGCCTAACTCACGTTAGGGAAAGTACAGGCGGCCGAGGTCACAGAAACAGATGAACTCTACTTCATTTCCCCCATGGACTGTCAGGTTCAAATAGGGAACTTTCCATTTTTTTGCTAAAAAGTTTCAGAAAGCCCAGATGTCACATTAAATATCTTAAATATTTTAATTTATTTACTTTATCATATAATGTATTCGTCTGGCATTGTTATACAACGTGTGTCATACATTGTTATATAATTGTATACATATAATATACACGTTTTACATTGTTATAAATTGTATACATGTATACAAAATGTATATGAACATTCTAATATTTTCTTGATGTAAATGTAATGACAGCCATGCTTTAATGTAACAAAGAGCGGATTTATTTTGTTAACGACTTGGTCAAAGACAGAGCCGCTAAAAACCGAGTCCGATGGAGAGGTGTGGTTGCAGCCCCTTGCTCCCCTAGAGAGGCGTGGCTTCAGCCCCTTGCTCCCCTGGAGAGGTGTGGTTGCAGCCCCTTGCTCCCCTGGAGAGGCGTGGCTTCAGCCCCTTGCTCCCCTGGAGAGGTGTGGTTGCAGCCCCTTGCTCCCCTACAGAGGCGTGGCTTCAGCCCCTTGCTCCCCCGGAGAGGTGTGGTTGCAGCCCCTTGCTCCCCTGGAGAGGTGTGGCTTCAGCCCCTTGCTCCCCTGGAGAGGTGTGGTTGCAGCCCCTTGCCCCCCTACAGAGGCGTGGCTTCAGCCCCTTGCTCCCCTGGAAAGGTGTGGCTTCAGCCCCTTGCTCCCCTAGGGGCCATAAAAATGACGTGACCAAAGAAAAGACAATGAATGAGATGAACACACAATTTGTAGTTCTGAGAAAACTTTCTGGTTTGTATGTGATGAAGTGTATGACTCATTATTTTTTTTGTTATCATAAAGTAATCTAAAGTCAGGTGCATAAATCATATACTCCCATTTGACTAATTATGTGATATGTACTTATGTTTTGTCTGAAAACATCTTATATAAATATTATGTTGCCATTTACACATTCCAATTGAAAACAAACATATCACGCAACACAAATGTTGTTTTATACTTAATCTAATGACGTAGTGATGTCCACACGATAATACATTTATTTATAAACAGATGTTATTAGTTATTTTAGTGTTATTTTTTGTTGTGTTTGTTGTGTATTTGTTGTGTGTTTGTTGTGTGTTTGTTGTGTGTTTGTTGTGTGTTTGTTGTGCGTTCGTTGTGTATCCGTTGTGTTTGTTGTGTGTTTGTTGTGTGTTTGTTGTGTGTTTGTTGTGTGTTTGTTGGGTATCCGTTGTATTTGTTGTGTGTTTGTTGTGTGTTTGTTGTGTGTCCTCAGGTGTGCCACCAGGTGTTCTAGTTTGTAGCCACGTTTATGTGTTTGTTTTCTCAAATTCCTCAGAAGATCAAACGCGTGGCCGTGTGACCGCCTACCTTAAAGAGAGCATTGCTTGTCATGTTCTGATATATCTGTCCATGTATTCTCTTATCTGTATTTGTTCTTTGCTCATGTGTGTTCTTTTTGCGTGCCGAGTGTTTGCTCTTACGACTGATAATCCAAATCATATCCAAGTCACTACATGGAAAATAAGTTTAAATTTTTAAAATTTATTTTAAGAAAAACAATCGGTGCATAATTTTCTGAACGTTGTCGATCTTACAAACGTCAAGTTTATCCATCCATCAAATATTGTCATTAACATCCAATATTGTCAGTTAACTAAATTATACTTTGGACAAAAAGTCAACGAATGCAGTGAGAAATGACACAAGAATTACTGACGTAGTACTCAATTTAATTGTTACAATAAACAAAAAAGCGAAACAAATATAGGGGACAACAAGTCTGTATGTACAGTAAATAGAGTCGGTTACATAACAATAGAAAACATGTTGTATGCGACGGTAGGTGTATAGACACTAAATGTCAAATCTGAGGATAGGAAACATCATTCAGACAGATTATAACGTTAAAATAGCAATCATTCAAACAGACAATAACGTTAAAAATTGACAAACATTCAAATATATTATAACATTAAAACTAATAATCATTCAGAATATACCGTTAAAATTAGCTATCATTCTGAATATAAAGTTATAATTAGCAATAATTTAGAATATAAAGTTAAAATGTGTAATCTTCAAACTTGTTGCAACTTTAAACTTGACAATTATTCAGAATATAACGTTAAAATTGACGCTTATTCAAATATATTATAACAGCGAAACTGACAACCATTCAAACAGATTATAAATTTAAAATAAAGAATCAATTTAAACAGATAATTAAAAAAGTATCAGTTATTTTAAAATGTATATTTTAAATACTTAAAATCATACAAACCGTGTTGGCTTATGAGTACTGAAATGTTCAGTTTGTTTTTAAAATTATTTACATATATACACCTTGGTATATACACTAAACAATGTATGTACTTTAACTTTTTAATAACCCTAATCAAAAGGAAATGTTATGGTTGGGGTTAGGTTAAGGGTTAGCGAATTCCTAACGAAAGTACTTTATTGATTTCATATATAATAAGTATCCTTGAAAGACCGATATTTATCATGCGGTGGGGGGTTATGTTGGGGAGGGGATATACTTGGGAGTAAGTGTCCGGGTAGGGGGTCGTGTTAATATCTTAGAGCCAGATCCAGTATAGTTTGTTTAATCCAAACTCCTTGGGCTAACAGTTGTGACAAGTTTCTCTTCATCGTATAAAGCCCTCAATTTGCCCCGATGTAGCCCCTCTATGTTAGCTACATCTAGCTAGTTTAGCCCTGGGATTATAGCCCCCCTTTATTGTAGCCCCTTTTTGTAGCCCGTTTTAGCCCATTGGCTTTAGCCCGACTGGTGAATGCTCCAACAATGACGTCAGCTTTAGGCTGTATGCAGTGGCGTAGCGAGATCGGGTGTCACCAGGTGCGGCACTTAATGGTGTCACCCCCGTAAATGGTGTCACCCGTAAATGGTCCGCACCCCCGCTCCCCCCCCCCCCCCTTCGCTACGCCTCTGTCTGTATGCGCACGTTAGCGCAATGCAATATTTTGAGTTTACTTCCATTCAAGAATAGTCTAACAATGCTATCGTCTATTGCTTCGTGATTGTGCGTCTGAAATCAATAGAAATAATTTTTTTTCAAAGAGTAATTAGTAATTAGGATTAATACAAAATAAAGAAGCGAGGATAAAACTACAATATAAATTGAAAAACACACACAGTAGCAGAATGTAACAGTAAGTTTGTATCAAACTAAAACAAAGTCAAATCAAACAATGTTCTATGTACAAGGTAATCATAAGAACACATTGGATTGTTGGTATTTGGAGTTGTTCAGAGATCTCAAATTAATTGAATGCGTGTGTTGATACATAGCAACATGACATGCATTTATGCAGGTATTTACACTACAGTTAATGCTATGAATAACCCAGCAGCTAGCTGTGAAGTTGAATCATACAGCTAATGACGCTAGCTGTGAAGTCGTATTCTGCAGCTAATGACGCTAGTTGTGGAGTCGTATTCTGCAGCTAATGACGCTAGTTGTGGAGTCGTATCCTGCAGCTAATAACGCTAGTTGTCAAGTCGTATTCTGCAGCTAATGACGCTAGTTGTCAAGTCGTATTCTGCAGCTAATGACACTAGCCGAGGAATCATATCCTGCAGCTGACGCTAGCTGTGGAGTCGTATCCTGCAGTTGACGCTGTTCTGAATATGCTGAAACCTCCCATTCGTTATGGTTAAAGGCACATGTTGTTTCAGCTGAACATCAAGTAATCGAGAATTGTGTAGACTCATGTTGATATGCAGCAAATACTGGATATGTATGACTCGCATAGTGACCAATGTCCTGTCAAACACAGGAGACGAAGTACAATATCACAAGAGACAAGGTACAATATCCCAGGAGACGAGGTACAATATCCCAGGAGACGACGTTGGCTACAATATCCCAGGAAACGAGGTACAATATCCTAGGAGACGAGGTACAATATCCCAGGAGACGACGTTGGCTACAATATCCCAGGAGACAATTTCATATATGCAGACAAATTTATCCTAGTTCTGACAGAAGATATTTTTTTAAACAGTTACAATATATCGTCAGATATAAAGAAAATTATTACTTTCTAAAATCTAGTTTTTAAAAAAACAAAACAAAGATTGCTTGTTCTAAATAACTCTGCCAGTTACACATTAGTCGTGACAATATATAACATTTTTAAAATTAAAAATTGACTATATTTTTATTTACAAAAATAAAATAAAATAATAATTACACAACACGCAATCCATAGGCCTACAGTGTAAAATAAACACAATCAAATGAACTTTAATTACAGATTACCCATGTAAGAAGATTTGAAGCACACGCAGATGAGTATGTTAACTTTCAATGATTTTAAAAATACATCGCTTTAATATTAAGATAATGCATTGCTTTTTAAGACCCACTTATGTACATCATGTTTTATTATAAGATATGTCAGGTAGTCTGGTAGTTTAACGTGACCTTGGTCAGTTGGTTTTCAAACCAATACAGCTGGGATACATCTTCTGACCTTTGACCTAATTAGGCCATTGATCAATAAAGTAATCAATAAAACAGTACACTTTTGATCAGGGTTCGAACCTTGGACGAAGCGAATTGAATGTTGATAGCTGACAAATGTCTTCCAAAATCTGAAGTCCGATAACTTGTTTGGTGCTGTGAATTCTGGTGGCTAATTTTGTTCTGAGTTTAAATGTTGTACACCTGTTTTAGAAGACGTTGGTGGGAGGGAGGGGGGATATCCAGGTTTGTTGTGGTGTTGGGTGTGGAGTTGTAGCAGTTGGGTAGATGATCTTAGATCATAACACACAATGTTACGGCATTTGGTGAGTCCATAGTTTGCTGTAGCAGGTAGTTAGATGGCCACATCCTGTAAGACATTGTGTTGGGCTATTTGGTGATTCCATAACGTCATACACTATTGCGATATCAGATAGTTTATTACGATCTGGAGCAACGATATTTGTCCCCCTTGGTATTGTCTATGATATAAACTATGTTCAAACACGGAAGAACGGAATCAGCCATATCCGGTAACGACGTTCTAAAAAAATCTCTTCCTTTTGACTTTTATTTGCTGCCAAAAACGATTTTTTGACATTTGAATGGGATATGTTCTATCCTTCTAGTGGGTGATGTTTTACACGCTGTGATATAGCGCCTGCTGTGTTGTGGTATAGACGCACCACTCGTGGTGTTGTGGTGGAGGAGATGACAGCCATACCTCCAGCTTAGATGCGGATCAGGTCTAGAGAGTTGATGACTTCTTCCTCTTCTTCGTCGTACTCGTCTTCCGCCTGTCTGGGTTTAACGACCGGCTCGTCGTCGTCGATGGAGGTCTCGAGGATGACGCGAGGCTGACCGTTCCTGCCTCCCACGGCAGACATCTCCATGGTAACTGGGGGGAGAAAGGCAGGAAGTGACGTCAGAACTAGTTTGTGGTTAGTGGAGTTGTTACGGTAGGGACTGGTAGGTTAGGGTTAAAGATAGAGCTTGGTTTATTAAGTGGTGAGTAGTGTTGTTATATTTACGGTAGGGACTCGTGTTAGTATTAGAGATATTGTTTGGTTTATGGGTACCAGATGTGATATTGAAACCCTAAAGAAGGTCAGAATCGTATAGTAAAAGAAACTGCGTTACTATCTACATTTTATATTTGCCCGAGAATAAAAGGTCTAAATGTGATGATGTAACTTGAAAGACACAGATGATTAGTCACACATAAAACTAAAACAAGTCTCAGCGCTAACTAACCCATCTGTTCTTTATTAGCTCCAACACTAGTTGCGTTAGCCTCAATGACACATACAATTTTTTAAAGTTTTAGTTAAGTCATAGGTTTGATATTAAATTAGGCTTTTAAAAGTTAACGATATTTCATCGCAGGTCATTGGTATATCATCTTATGTTTTACTAAGTCATTGGCAAATTATCCTAGGTTCAAATAACTCATTAGCAAATGAACTCAGATTTTTACTGAGTCATTGGCATATCATTTCAGATTTTACTTAGTCATTGGTAAAACATCTTAGGTTTTATAAATTCCAACGATGTAGCCATCAACTAACGCTAACAAAAAAGAAGATAATTTTACCAGAATTTTGGTGAGGTATTTCTTTGACGTGGTTGACGTCACTGAACATGACCTTGTTGGTTTCACTGACGTCATTCTTGTTGCTGGGCAGGTTGATGTCGTCTGTCTCAATGTGCACGGACGGGGGGTTGTGGTTGGGTCGGCATGACCTCTCGCTCGAGTGGTCAGACTGGTCAAGGACGAGCCGCTTCCGGCAGTGGTCCCAGGTGTTGAGGGCGTGGACAAACGAGACGAGGGACAGGATCAGGAGCAGCACGTGCGCCTGGGTGTGACGGGATGGGGGGGGGGGAGGTTGTAAGTACTTCAGGAATGATTGGACGTGTACGCATGAACGAGAATGTGTATATGTTTACATGTTTACAGACTTGTAGGTATAAACATACACAAACAGTATATTATATATGTATATACATATATATATAATATATATATATATATATATATATATATATATATATATATATATATATATATGTATGTATATACATATAAGTGAGTGTGTTTGTGTGTGTGTGTGTGTTTATGTAACTAGAACATACCGGCAGCATGCTGTATTTTTTCACCAAAAATGTCCACACCGGAAACTGAAAGGCTGCAATAACAGCGCTGACTGCGCATGTCAAGCCGTACAACTTGCCCAAATGTTGGTGATTGAAATGTCTGGAGATGGAAAATAAAAAGTTAGAAACCCTTGGATGGACGCAAAAACACTAGGGCGGTATTGTCAGGTGGTTTCTTTCTTTAATGTTTTGTCGTCAGGGTAAAAATGTGTGGTTGTGTGTGGTTGTGTGGTTGTTTTTTGCGCTGTCTGTCTCAAAGTGTTAAATTGTTGGTAGTGATTGAGATTTGTGGTGTGTGGTTAAGGTTTTGATGTGTGAGGTTGGTAGTGGTTGTCAGTGTGTGAGTGATAGTTGATGTCGATGTGTGTGGTTGTCAGTGTTGACTGGTGTTGATGAGTGTGGTTGTGGGGGTTCAAAAGTTTTGATGTGGGTGGTTGTAGGGGTTGATGTGTGATGTTGTGGGGGTTGATGTTTGATCTTTTGGGGGTTGACTGGTTTCGGTGTGTGAGGTTGTGGGCGTTGATGTGTGAGGATGTGGGGGTTGATGTGTGTGGTTGTGGGGGTTGATGTGTGATGTTGTGGGGGTTGACTGGTTTTGATGTGTGAGGATGTGGGGTTTAATAGTTTTGATGTGGGTGGTTGTGTGGGTTGATGTGTGAGGTTGTGTGGGTTGATGTGTGATGTTGTGGGGTTGACTGGTTTTGATGTGTGAGGATGTGGGGTTTAATAGTTTTGATGTGGGTGGTTGTGTGGGTTGATGTGTGAGGTTGTGTGGGTTGATGTGTGATGTTGTGGGGTTGACTGGTTTTGATGTGTGAGGATGTGGGGGTTGATGTGTGTGGTTGTCATTGTAGTGTTTGATGCTCATATTTTTATGAGTTGCGAGTACTTGTAAACATTTTCCAAGACACGAGATTAAAACCTTCGGCTTGTACGACCTGTATTACCCCTTTGTCTACCCAACACAAAGTTTCTAAATCTAGAACCACGACTTAGGCTTAGGAAATGCATTGAAGGACGCGTACTACTTTGTCAGGAGAAGATCTTTCAAGATCCTCTAAGACATGTAAATCCTGGTTATCCCGGTGGCCAAATCTTGTTTTCCTTGGCCAGATCTGGGGCCACGTTACTGGCCAGCTGGGTAAATCACATTCTTGTTGAAGCCTCACCGTGGGCCCAAAGTGTGAATTGAATCAGCCCAAAAACACATGGCCGGCGTGAAGACATGAGCGGCGAGAGAAACGAGATTAGCGGCAGATCAATGGGGGCTAAGAATAATATTAGGCCAGGTTTTTTCCCCGTGTTCGGCCAAGTTTTCTTGCCAAAACAAAATTCAGTTTATTCCGGAATTTTTAAACACATATTTTCATTTAAAAGTATTTACGCTAAAAGAGTTTTAAGGTTATTTGATAATTTTAACAAATGTTTTTAGCTATAAAGATATAAAGGTCTTATTCATTTCCAAGTTTCCAACAAAGATTTGATGTAAATTGTGATGCGAAAGGTTATTAATCTAAAACACTTAAGATTGAGTAACATAATATATTTTTTTTATTTATTCGAAAAATTCTTAGAGACGTGGCTAGAGGAAGTTTCCAATGGACTGGTGTCGGGAATGTTCTGAGGACGAGTGTCAGTTTTCCTATTGGTGGTGTCTGCAGACGTCCTCCTATTACAGATGAATGTTACTTTAAGGTGCCTGCTACTTACAGCGACCTACTACTTACAGCGACCTACAACTTACAGGGACCTACAACTTACAGGTGCCTACTACATACAGGTGCATGTTACTTACAGCGACCTACACCCTACAGGGACCTACTACTTACAAGGACCTACTACTTACAAGGACCTACTACTTACAAGGACCTACTACTTACAGGTGCCTACTACTTACAGGGACCTACTACAGGGACCTACTACTTACAGGGACCTACTACTTACAAGGACCTACTACTTACAGGTGCCTACTACTTACAGGGACCTACTACAGGGACCTACTACTTACAGGGACCTACTACAGGGACCTACTACCTACATGGACCTACTACCTACAGGGACCTACTACAGGGACCTACTACTTACAGGGACCTACTACAGGGACCTACTACGTACAGCGACCTACAAATCACAGGGACCTACTACCTACAGGGACCTACTACCTACAGGGACCTACTACGTACAGGGACCTACAACTCACAGGGACCTACTACGTACAGGGACCTACTACTTACAGGGATCTACTACTTACAGGTGCATGATGAAGGCGCACATGGTGGTCTGTGTAAAGACCTTGTGAAGGACGTTGAAGAGGGTCGAGATGGCCTTGGATGACCTCTCCTCCAGCATGTCCACGCCCAGCTCCACCACGGCCAGCAGTGACGTCAGCACAATGGCGGGCACGATCCGCTGCATCTGCTGTGTGGCTGGCGTTGTACCTGGTGGGACACAGGGGGGGGGGTGAGATTGACGACATGCTTATAGGTGTAGATACCTATACACAGTGGCGTAGGCAGGGGGGGGGGTTAGGGGGGGGGTCATAAACCCCCCCATAGACCCCTCGGTATATATATATATATATATATATATATATATAAAGTATGAGGGGGGGGGGGGGAAATTGAAATTTTGAGGGGGGGGGGGGGTGCAAATCGAAAGTTTGTCCCCGGGTAAAAATTGGAACCCCCCCCCCCCCCCGTTGAGACGATCCCGGCTACGCCACTGCGTATACACATCAGTGTTACATGTATATAAACTTACACATTTGTGTTAGATGAAAGTAAATATACACATAAATTTTACATGCCCATACACTCGGTACAAAAAGAAGAGATTGTAAAGCGTATCGTTCATACACATTTTTTCTACAAGAACGCCACCCCAGAGTTCTAAACGTCTGTGGTTCAAGTAGGAGAGCCTAGAACAGTTGAACTAACGTCCCAGATACTGACTGTAATAACTGAGTACCCTACTCGTCTAATTAAACTAATTAAAGTCACTGAATTTAAGAACACTCGAGGAATCAGATCTCGTTGATTCGAATCCTTGAATTAAAGTTATTAGATTTAACTTTTAATGAATAAAACCTCATTTAATCTCATTAAATCGAATTTTTGCACAAACTATTGATTAGAGTCCCCAGCTACTGAATAAGTATTCCAGTTATAGACTAAAGGGTCCTAGGACCTTTGACCACAGGTGCTTTGACCATAGGGGGTTTGACCATAGGGGGTTTGACCAAAGCGGAGCTTTGACCATAGGGGCTTTGACCATAGGGGGTTTGACCACAGCGGGCCTTTGACCATAGCGGTGCTTTGACCATAGGGGATTTGATCATAGGGGGTTTGACCATAGGGGGTTTGACCACAGGTGTTTTCTCAGCAGAGGGTCTTTGATCACAGGTGGTCTATCAACGGGTGTTTGATCACAAGCGCTGTGTCCGGCTTTGATCATAGGCGTTTTGTCCACATAGGGTCTTTGATCTCAGGTGTTTTGTTTCCAGTTGAAACTTGGAATCAAATGCACGCGATTGGCGATGGTGTAGCACGAACAAATAACATTTGTGAAAGATGGCATTACAGTCTTCAGTCTCTCCTCCAATGTAGTCACCCAACAATGTGGCGTTTCCTTGAAGGTCTACAGATGGACTGCACACGGCAAAAGACAACTTTCTTGCAAGGTGTCGCAGAGCAAGCTACCCAGCTGAGAAGCGATACAAGATGCTGCACGAAAAAAGTACAACGTGCTGTCCAGACATATGGTCAAACAGATGTACTGACATATTTGCGTGCTATAGCACATCTGTCAATTAGTTAACCATTTTATGTATTACATCTTTGACTATATTGTTGGCAAGTTTTGTATCATTTTTATCCTTTATATATGCTATGTATTTTCAAGTAGATCTATAATATTTATTTGTGAAACTTGTTATATGTCGCATGTGACCTACTTAGGTCGAGTCAGGTTCCATTTTTATTTTGACATTGTATAATACCTTATATGGATTGATGGTGCAACTACCGGGGTTTTTCCACTGTCTTATTAAGGGTGTCTAGGACCCAGAAATTTTCCATTAAGATCTGATTGATTGATTCTGATCAGATGACCATCCCAACCAATGGCTACATGAGTTGAGGATAACCTCCCCTGTTGCATAAGTCTTTAACTGCACCGCACACTCGCAACACGTGGCAGTCTACCTTGATCAAACGGTCTATTAAGACCAGGCCGTCCATATTGTCCGGCAATAGATTCTGACCATTTGAACGTGAGAGAACTTAAGTCCTGTGTGTGCTATGCTTTCTTAAGTTGTTTTAGTCTTCTAGTATAATATTACTTGTCGCCAAGTGATTCATGAAGCTATAGCAGTGTTGTGTGACCTGTGGCTATTTTTATACAGTGTTGAAATCTGTGATAGTGTTTTTTCTTACGCTTTGTAAGTTGGGTTTTATTATTTTATAAATTAAATATTTTATCTAGTTTAACCTTGTGTTCTGCCACAACTGTGTTCGCTTATTAAAGGTTGTATGCAGATTGGATGAGTGTTAACTTCAATAGTATCACTAGTTTTCCCTAGGCGTCGAATTCGAGCCCTAGTGTGTTGTTGAGTTAGTGTTCATTCATTTAGGCTGTAAGTCATTTGCATATAACCCCGAAAAAAGAATCCGGGGACGTTCACCATCTATCTGGCTGGTAGATAGGTAAACGTTACACGCATTATTTGTGTTTCATTTATATTTAAAATAAATCTATGAGGCCTAGCACCAGCCTTTATAGTTCTTGTCTTTTTTTTAAATACATGTTAATTTCTATTAACGTACTCTCAGGAAACATGTATAAAATCGTGTTAATTGTATCACACCTATGATCAAAGCCGGACACAGCGCTTGTGATCAAACACCCGTTGATAGACCACCAGATATTGTCTAAACACTTCTCCAGATATTGACTAGAAACTGCAGATATTCCCCCACCGACCGCTATATACTAGAACTGGCGTAGTGCCGGTCTATCAGGACCCCTAGAACTGATGACTTACCCAGTTCCCTGGCGTATTGCCGGTCTAACCCCCTAGAACTGATGACTTACCCAGTTCCCTGGTGTAGTGCCATGACTTACCCAGTTCCCTGGCGTAGTGCCATGACTTACCCAGTTCCCTGGCGTTGTGCCGGTCTATCAGGACCCCTTAGAACTGATGACTTACCCAGTTCCCTGGTGTAGTGCCATGACTTACCCAGTTCCCTGGCGTAGTGCCGGTCTATCAGGACCCTCTAGAACTGATGACTTACCCAGTTCCCTGGCGTATTGCCGGTCTAACCCCCTAGAACTGATGACTTACCCAGTTCCCTGGTGTAGTGCCATGACTTACCCAGTTCCCTGGCGTAGTGCCGGTCTATCAGGACCCTCTAGAACTGATGACTTACCCAGTTCCCTGGCGTATTGCCGGTCTAACCCCCTAGAACTGATGACTTACCCAGTTCCCTGGTGTAGTGCCATGACTTACCCAGTTCCCTGGCGTAGTGCCATGACTTACCCAGTTCCCTGGCGTTGTGCCGGTCTATCAGGACCCCTTAGAACTGATGACTTACCCAGTTCCCTGGCGTTGTGCCAGTCTATCAGGACCCCCTAGAACTGATGACTTACCCAGTTCCCTGGCGTAGTGCCGGTCTAACCCCCTAGAACTGATGACTTACCCAGTTCCCTGGCGTTGTGCCGGTCTATCAGGACCCCCTAGAACTGATGACTTACCCAGTTCCCTGGCGTAGTGCCGGTCTAACCCTCTAGAACTGATGACTTACCCAGTTCCCTGGCGTAGTGCCGGTCTATCAGGACCCCCTAGAACTGATGACTTACCCAGTTCCTGGCGTAGTGCCGGTCTATCAGGACCCCCTAGAACTGATGACTTACCCAGTTCCCTGGCGTAGTGCCGGTCTAACCCCCTAGAACTGATGACTTACCCAGTTCCCTGGCGTAGTGCCGGTCTAACCCCCTAGAACTGATGACTTACCCAGTTCCCTGGCGTATTGCCGGTCTAACCCCCTAGAACTGATGACTTACCCAGTTCCCTGGCGTAGTGCCGGTCTATCAGGGCCCCTGATGACTTACCCAGTTCCCTGGCGTAGTGCCGGTCTATCAGGACCACCTAGAACTGATGACTTACCCAGTTCCCTGGCGTAGTGCCGGTCTATCAGGACCCCATAGAACTGATGACTTACCCAGTTCCCTGGCGTAGTGCCGGTCTATCAGGACCCCCTAGAACTGATGACTTACCCAGTTCCCTGGCGTAGTGCCGGTCTATCAGGACCCCCTAGAACTGATGACTTACCCAGTTCCCTGGCGTAGTGCCGGTCTATCAGGGCCCCTGATGACTTACCCAGTTCCCTGGCGTAGTGCCGGTCTATCAGGACCACCTAGAACTGATGACTTACCCAGTTCCCTGGCGTAGTGCCGGTCTATCAGGACCCCATAGAACTGATGACTTACCCAGTTCCCTGGCGTAGTGCCGGTCTATCAGGACCCCCTAGAACTGATGACTTACCCAGTTCCCTGGCGTATTGCCGGTCTAACCCCCTAGAACTGATGACTTACCCAGTTCCCTGGTGTAGTGCCATGACTTACCCAGTTCCCTGGCGTAGTGCCATGACTTACCCAGTTCCCTGGCGTTGTGCCGGTCTATCAGGACCCCTTAGAACTGATGACTTACCCAGTTCCCTGGCGTTGTGCCGGTCTATCAGGACCCCTTAGAACTGATGACTTACCCAGTTCCCTGGCGTAGTGCCGGTCTATCAGGGCCCCTGATGACTTACCCAGTTCCCTGGCGTTGTGCCAGTCTATCAGGACCCCCTAGAACTGATGACTTTCCCAGTTCCCTGGCGTAGTGCCGGTCTAACCCCCTAGAACTGATGACTTACCCAGTTCCCTGGCGTTGTGCCGGTCTATCAGGACCCCCTAGAACTGATGACTTACCCAGTTCCCTGGCGTAGTGCCGGTCTAACCCCCTAGAACTGATGACTTACCCAGTTCCCTGGCGTAGTGCCGGTCTATCAGGACCCCCTAGAACTGATGACTTACCCAGTTCCCTGGCGTAGTGCCGGTCTATCAGGGCCCCTGATGACTTACCCAGTTCCCTGGCGTAGTGCCGGTCTATCAGGACCACCTAGAACTGATGACTTACCCAGTTCCCTGGCGTAGTGCCGGTCTATCAGGACCCCATAGAACTGATGACTTACCCAGTTCCCTGGCGTAGTGCCGGTCTAACCCCCTAGAACTGATGACTTACCCAGTTCCCTGGCGTAGTGCCGGTCTAACCCCCTAGAACTGATGACTTACCCAGTTCCCTGGCGTAGTGCCGGTCTAACCCCCTAGAACTGATGACTTACCCAGTTCCCTGGCGTAGTGCCGGTCTATCAGGACCCCATAGAACTGATGACTTACCCAGTTCCCTGGCGTAGTGCCGGTCTAACCCCCTAGAACTGATGACTTACCCAGTTCCCTGGCGTAGTGCCGGTCTAACCCCCTAGAACTGATGACTTACCCAGTTCCCTGGCGTAGTGCCGGTCTAACCCCCTAGAACTGATGACTTACCCAGTTCCCTGGCGTAGTGCCGGTCTATCAGGACCCCCTAGAACTGATGACTTACCCAGTTCCCTGGCGTAGTGCCGGTCTATCAGGATCCCATAGAACTGATGACTTACCCAGTTCCCTGGCGTAGTGCCGGTCTAACCCCCTAGAACTGATGACTTACCCAGTTCCCTGGCGTAGTGCCGGTCTAACCCCCTAGAACTGATGACTTACCCAGTTCCCTGGCGTAGTGCCGGTCTAACCCCCTAGAACTGATGACTTACCCAGTTCCCTGGCGTAGTGCCGGTCTATTAGGACCCCCTAGAACTGATGACTTACCCAGTTCCCTGGCGTAGTGCCGGTCTAACCCCCTAGAACTGATGACTAACCCAGTTCCCTGGTGTAGTGCCATGACTTACCCGGTTCCCTGGCGTAGTGCCGGTCTATCAGGACCCCCTAGAACTGATGACTTACCCAGTTCCCTGGTGTAGTGCCATGACTTACCCAGTTCCCTGGCGTAGTGCCGGTCTATCAGGACCCCCTAGAACTGATGACTTACCCAGTTCCCTGGCGTAGTGCCGGTCTAACCCCCTAGAACTGATGACTTAACCAGTTCCCTGGCGTAGTGCCGGTCTAACCCCCTAGAACTGATGACTTACCCAGTTCCTGGCGTAGTGCCGGTCTATCAGGACCCCCTAGAACTGATGACTTACCCAGTTCCCTGGCGTAGTGCCGGTCTAACCCCCTAGAACTGATGACTTACCCAGTTCCTGGCGTAGTGCCGGTCTATCAGGAACCCCTAGAACTGATGACTTACCCAGTTCCCTGACGTAGTGCCGGTCTATCAGTACCCCCACCAGTGGAGACGAGACCAGCGCCAACAGCTGCACAACGCCGAAGTAAGTCTCAAAGTCTGGGGAGAGAGAGGGAGAGAGAGGGAGAGAGAGGGAGAAAGAGGTTCAGGCGACTTGTTGGAGATTATTGAAATCATCGGTTCGTTTTTTAAACGGATTAAACTGAGAGCTTATTTATTTTAGACCCACTATCATTGCGCTTTAAAACTGACCTTTCCTGTCCTGGCGGTCTATGGGGCAGATGAAGTAGAGTTGACCTTTTCGTGACCTCAGTATATAAAGGGATAGTGTGGTTAGCACTATACTAAGAAGCCGTTACTTTCCCTAACGTGTGTCAAGTACCCATTAGAACTGGTGGGCTACGGAATTTATTTTCAGGATACGAGCTCAAGGCTTTCGAGCCAACTAAACCACGTACATAAATCGTGCTTCTATAATGCATTTAGGCTCCATTAAATTGCTACTGACCAGTAGCCCCAAGATCTGACAGATAATTTGGCTTATCCTGTGGCCCCATAATCCTGATTACCCGGAGGCCACATAATCTGACTTATTTCTGTGGTCCCATAATCTAAGAATTACTATTTAACCAGTGACAGCCATGATACATAAGATAATCCGGTTTATTGTCCAATGTTCTAAGAGATAATCCGCCTTACCCAGTGGCCCCAAGATCTAAGAAATAATCCTATTTAATCAGTGACACCCATGTACTAAGAAATAATCTAACTCACCTAGTGGTCCCATAATCTAAGAGATAATCCAACTCACCCAGTGCTCCCATAATCTAAGATAATCCAACTCACCCAGTGCTCCCATAATCTAAGAGATAATCCAACCCACCCAGTAGTCCCATAATCTAAGAGATAATCCAACCCACCCAGTGGTCCCATAATCTAAGAGATAATCCAACTCACCCATTGGTCCTATAATCTAAGAGATAATCCAACTCACCCAGTTGTCCTATAATCTAAGAGATAATCCAACTCACCCATTGGTCCCATAATCTAAGAGATAATCCAACTCACCCAGTGATCAAATAATCTAAGAGATAATCCAACTCACCCAGTGCTCCCATAATCTAAGAGATAATCCAACCCACCCAGTGGTCCCATAATCTAAGAGATAATCCAACTTACCCAGTGCTCCCATAATCTAAGAGATAATCCAACTTACCCAGTAGTCCTATAATCTAAGAGATAATCCAACTCACCTAGTGGTCCCATAATCTAAGAGATAATCCAACTCACCCAGTGGTCCCATAATCTAAGAGATAATCCAACCCATCCAGTGGTCCCATAATCTAAGAGATAATCCAACTCACCCAGTGGTCCCATAATCTAAGAGATAATCCAACCCATCCAGTGGTCCCATAATCTAAGAGATAATCCAACTCACCCAGTGGTCCCATAATCTAAGAGATAATCCAACTCACCCAGTGGTCCCATAATCTAAGAGATAACCCAACTCACCCAGTGGTCCCATAATCTAAGATAATCCAACTCACCCAGTGGTCCCATAATCTAAGAGATAATCGAACTCACCCAGTGGTCCCATAATCTAAGAGATAATCCAACTCACCAATTGGTCCCATAATCTAAGAGATAATCCAACTCACCCAGTGGTCCCATAATCTAAGAGATAATCCAACTCACCCATTGGTCCCATAATCTAAGAGATAATCCAACTCACCCATTGGTCCCATAATCTAAGAGTTAATCCAACTCACCAAGTGATCAAATAATCTAAGAGATAATCCAACTCACCCAGTGGTCCCATAATCTAAGAGATAATCCAACCCACCCAGTGGTCCCATAATCTAAGAGATAATCCAACTCACCCAGTGGTCCCATAATCTAAGAGATAATCCAACTCACCCAGTGGTCCTATAATCTAAGAGATAATCCAACTCACCCACTGGTCCCATAATCTAAGAGATAATCCAACTTATCCAGTGGTCCCATAATCTAAGAGATAATCCAATTCACCCAGTGGTCCCATAATCTAAGAGATAATCCACCTCACCCAGTGCCCCCATAATCTAAGAGATAATCCAACTCACCCAGTGCCCCCATAATCTAAGAGATAATCCAACTCACCCAGTGGTCCCATAATCTCCAGGCCGGCTATCTCCACGACCCTCATCTCAAAGACAGCCTCATGCAGCTTGTGAATGCCGAACCACAGGAGCGACCAGACGAACAGCGGCTGGACGGCGGTGGGGGAAAACCTGGGCGGGGGGCGCCGGCACCGAGTGACGCCAGCCTCTGTCGAAGCGTAATCGGTAAGTGGGGAGGAGTCGGGGTACATGTGGGGGTCAAGGTCGGGGTCAAGGTCTTCTATAGAAGATCGAGAGAGGTGGGAGGGAATTTGTTAGGTCATGCGTGTCTTAATGTTTTTTATTCTAGCTTAAAACTAGATTGTTAAAATACAAATAAAGTTAGCTAGCAATTATCAATGAACTTTTTAAAGTAACCTGGCATTGATTCATTGTATGTGTGAAGTGGGACCTATTTACACAATTTTTGTTTTGTTTCAGCTTCACGTTTCACGATTATTTGTCAAATAAAAAAAATTCAATCATAAGACGTTTAGACGTACTTTTAACATAGAAGAGGTATTCTTTTCGAAATGTTTTGGGTGGGGGTTAGGGTTATGAAGTACGGTAATTAAGGTTATTATAAAATGTTGGAAATTAATGTTTAAGATTATGATTTTGAATAGAGTTAAGTTAACATAAGATGCAGAAAAAGAGAAACGGAGTGGGGTTAGCGTTTAACGCAAAATAATTCTTTAACGATTTTGTTGAGTATTTTTAGAATTTTGCCACAAAACGTGACAAAAGTCACGTGTAACGCGTGAAGTGTGACTGAGAGACGTGAAGCGTGAACCAGTGAAGCTGAAGCTGACGTGACAAGTTGTATGCTATGTGTGACAACAGCGTGACAATCTACCCAGAGCTACGATATAAAATAATTAATGAATTCAAATTGTATTACTGCTACCAGTTATACATGTATTTTCTATAGGTAATTAGTGTAGACTATCAATTTTATTAAAAGAAGGTGGAGCCGAGGCCCCAACTCACCTGACATGCGCCTCTGCCACGCCCTCTGCTTACGTAACATGGCCTCGTCCAGCGATTGGTTGCGCCGTTTGCCGTAGTCTGCCGGAAGTGGCCAGGGAATCCTTGTCTTGGGCAAGAAGGCCACGGTGGAGACGAGCATAGGGACGATACCGATGGTGAGAAACATGAAGGACGTCTGAACGTCAACACCTATGGTGTGGAACAGCTGGGGGTGGGTGAGTGGGGGGGGGGATAAAAACATTCTTTATATATATATATATATTAGAGCTGATTTCCCCCAACACAACTATATCAACATGTTATACGCTATATGGCCCGTTGACATCAGCCTGCTTTACTTTCATGATTTCCTTCAGTAGTCTTTGTCCACCCAAGAACTACCCGCAAGGCAGCAGTTGTTTGATTTTAGAAGTTTCTCTTCTAGATGGGTTACTGTCCCCAGGATTGTAGGAAAAAAAGTCACAGGAAAAAAAACACAGGAAAAAAAACACAGAAAAAAAGTCACAGGAAAAAAAGTCACAGGAAAAAAAGTCACAGGAAAAAAAGTCACAAATATATTTTTGCATGATATTTGTTAATGCTTTTATGTATTAAATATTTAGAGAGTGCAAATTAACTTAGGATTAATTAAATGTAATGTAATGTGTGTAGGCTGTATACGCATAGGAATTTTTATAATTCATCTAAAAATATTTAGTATGAAGTATGTCGATTGTAATTATTTTAAACTTAAGATTAGTAGCATTTAATAGAATGCTCCTAAGTCCACGTTTTTCATCGTGTTTTTTTTTTTAAATACAAATATTAAATTACCGTGAAATGGTAAGTTCATCTGACTTGCTGCCCTCAACTCATGGCAACAATAGTTATGTTTAGTTCAACCACCTTTACTGCCCACATTTATCACGCTCATTACAAACTTAGGATCAAAACAGAAAGCCGACAAGGTTCAAAGGGAGTCATTGACGCATAACGTCAACAACACAAAAAATGTTCGGACAATGACTACTGAGGAGAGGCCGACCAGAGAATAGCCTACGGCAAAATGTGCCTAAATTTCTTTTATAATTAACTTTTCTACCGCGTATTTAACTACGTAACAAAATTTGAGATTGTTATGTTAATTATCTTAGAGTATTTTTACTTACAATTGCTATAAATCATAATGCTTTTAACGTCTATAAATAATTTACGCTATCAAAAAATACAACCCACAACAATAAACATACACAATTTTACAATTCTTAACAAATTAATAAAAAATATTTCTAAAAAGATTTTTGTGACTTTTTTCTGTGACTTTATTTCTGTGACTTTTTTTCCGATAAAATTTTTCCACTGTGACTTTTTTTCTGTGACTTTTTTTCCTAGCAAAAACTGTGACTTTTTTTCTGTTTTTTTTTTCCTGTGACTTTTTTTCCGTTCACCGTCCCGATAAACACTGGTGGATGAGGCTCGTTCAACTCGGGACTTTTGGAGTTAGCAATCAAACGCTCTCCCACCCGACCACGGCATTCCCTTACTGCCCCTTGCTGTTCCTTACTGTCCCTTACTGTCCCTTACTTCCCTTACTGTCCCTTACTGTCCCTTACTGTCCCTTAATGTCACTTACTGTCCCTTACTGTCCCTTACTATCACTTACTGTCCCTTACTGTCCCTTACTGTCCCTTACTATCACTTACTGTCCCTTACTGTCACTTACTGTCCCTTACTGTCACTTACTGTCCCTTACTGTCACTTACTGTCCCTTACTGTCCCTTACTGTCCCTTACTATCACTTACTGTCCCTTACTATCACTTACTGTCCCTTACTGTCACTTACTGTCCCTTACTGTCCCTTACTGTCCCTTACTGTCACTTGCTGTCACTTACTATCCCTTACTGTCCCTTACTGTCCCTTACTGTAGGACGTTATACAACATTTAAAGTAATTTGATGGAGAGATATTTTTGTTGAACGCAAAGGTAAATAAACGGGTTGACAATCAAAACCCAACCCCACGTGAAGCAGAGGGATGTTGAAATGTGTGAAGTACGGATATGTCTTTCTATCGTCAATGAGGAAACCATGAAGGCTATCCCAGGTGTATCATGAAACATCCGGCCAACGACGGTACTGGGGATAGGGTGAGACTGCCTGGGTTATCCACCCACTAGTGGTGTGAAATAATGACAGACTCTAGAGATGCAGATTCTAAGACAAGAGACGGCTTGGAACAGACGAGAATAGGAGGTCGAGGTTGTGGTAGACCAAAGGTGACACATCCATGAAAGGTTCAAGGTTTCAGAGGTCGAGTCGGCAGGAGATTGTCAGGTCTGATGGGTGACTCATGTCCAGGAAAGTTTAGAGGACTAGGTATTGTGCTGACTGTAGACTTTAGTCTTAACCGAGGGCAGTGGAATACAATAACTCTACTTCATCTTCCCTTATAAAATATGTAATGTTAACAAACACATACACACGTATATATATATATATATATATATATATATATATATATATATATATATATATATATATATATATCACCCAGGAAGTACTACCATGTATGAGTGGACAATTTAGCATAGGCAGGGGAAATAACTTTGAATAAATAACGATAATCCGTATAGATTTGTAGCAGTAGGAAATCCTGCCCCGGGGTGTCGGTGGCTCCAATCTAAGCCAAATATTTGTTCCCCGGGAGATTAGTTTCACCAACATCGATATTGTCTGGCAGACGACACGAAGGCTGGGATTACTGTAAGTCTGGGAGCAAATTGGTGCCGCCTCTAAGTCACTTCCGGTTCAATGAAAGCAGGGTTTCTCAACAGTATGAATTAATAATAGGGACTAGTTAGTGGTGGGAGGAAATAAGTCCCAAGTATTTGGTGTTGTTTGGTTGTAGGAAAGCATGAATATGATTGAGATAATACAGTGGGGGTAGTGTAATACACTGAAGGTAATATAATACAATGGAGACAGAATACACATAACATCAAATTGTTCATTCTCAATGTTTCTCGAATAAGATTTTCGTTGGACACTGGTTTTACGTATACTAGTGAGTATTAGCTACAAGCAATCTTAGTTAGAGAGAGAAAAGTAAAAATACTGGCCTAGCTGTGGTGGGATCAGTTAATGTAAGCTTATTTTTGTTGTCCAACTAGGACATTTGCCTGGCGTGCCAGAAGGACATATGACGCCGACAAGGACCTTTCATTCAACTTTACCAGCATGCGCTATGTTATGATGCCGTTAGAGTAGGCTGCCCCTAAAGGGAGATGACTATGTGACGTTTCCCTACCTGCATGAGCCATGTTATGATGCCGTTAGAGTAAGCTGCCCCTACGTAAAGGGAGATGACTATGTGGCATTTCCCTACCTGCATGAGCCATGTTATGATGCCGTTAGAGTAAGCTGCCCCTACGTAAAGGGAGATAACTATGTGACGTTTCCCTACCTGCATGAGCCATGTTATGATGCCGTTAGAGTAAGCTGCCCCTACGTAAAGGGAGATGACTATGTGGCATTTCCCTACCTGCATGAGCCATGTTATGATGCCGTTAGAGTAAGCTGCCCCTACGTAAAGGGAGATGACAATGTGACGTTTCCCTACCTGCATGAGCCATGTTATGATGCCGTTAGAGTAAGCTGCCCCTACGTAAAGGGAGATGACTATGTGACGTTTCCCTACCTGCATGAGCCATGTTATGATGCCGTTAGAGTAAGCTGCCCCTACGTAAAGGGAGATGACTATGTGACGTTTCCCTACCTGCATGAGCCATGTTATGATGCCGTTAGAGTAAGCTGCCCCTACGTAAAGGGAGATGACAATGTGACGTTTCCGGCCGAACAGGTTGGCTGTCTGGAGGTTGGTGAGGAACACGGCACTGCCGGCCACACCGGTCAGTGCCAGAGCCGGCACCACCAGCCAGGGGACGCTGCTGCTGGTGAAGGTCATCATTAGGGTGCCAAGGGCAAAGGTCAGTCTGAGGGAAAAAAAGAACAGTGACATTAACAATACACTGCTAGTTTTACACGTTGATTGTAGTTTTTCTACTCAAGTGTTTTCGAACATCAGAGGTACCCAAACAAAGAGGTGATTTCTTTACAAAGGTCTCCAAATCAAAGAGGTGACTTCCTTACAAAGGTCTCCCAAACAAAGAGGTGATTTTCATACAAAGGTCTCCCAAACAAAGAGGTGACTTCCTTACAAAGGTCTCCCAAACAAAGATGTGATTTCCATACAAAGGTCTCCCAAACAATGAGGTGATTTTCATACAAAGGTCTCCCAAACAAAGAGGTGATTTTCATACAAAGGTCTCCCAAACAAAGAGGTGATTTTCATACAAAGGTCTCCCAAACAAAGAGGTGATTTCCTTACAAAGTTATCTCAAACAACTTTATACGTATTCATCATATTGATTCTATTCACATAATGAGAAAATATAAATACCCATATATTTAAAAATTAACTTTGATATACAATGGATGAAAAGGCTTCGGTATATCATTCACGGAGTACTGTGTTGGAACAAAAATATTTGTCACATGATTGATAGGTAGAAACAACAAAATGGATGAGTGGCTTGCCGAAAGAGAAGGGCTGTGTTATAGATGTAGTAGCCTATGTGTTGTAATATGGTTTGTAACGTGAACTTACTTAAACAGGGGGAGGGGGGGGGGGTCTTTCAGAAATTTTTATCCTGGGTGGGGATGCACTTGAACATTCCGGGGGTGGAACGGAACACTGGTTAAAGTATATATTTTATGTATCTTCTTTTTTGTTCTTAATTATATATTATTGGAGGGGATTTCCTACAACAAAATAAAGACTTACTGGTCACTACATGACCTATTTTATCTTATTTAACTTGTTTTTCTTCGATTTGCTTCCATGATCTTTGTCATCACAAGAACAATTTGCAATGTAGCAGTTGTGTTTTTAAGAGCCTCTTTAGCCAAGGGATCTGAACTCGGGACTTTTCAAGTTAGCAGTCGAATGCACTCCCGCTCAACCAGAGTTTCTTTCAGGTACTTTTCGGGGTGGTGGGGTTGTGGGTGAGGATGGAGAGACATGAAAAAGGGGCTGGTAAGTCGAAGCCGACTGAAACCGTCAGTAACCAAACCCCTGTTGACTCACACAATCCATCGATCTACAGATTGGGAGTTCTTCCCCCTTTATTGCCGTGTTTGGGAGGAGTTCGCCCCCCCCCCCCCTTCCCCCCCCCCCTTTATTGCCGTGTTTACTGGATGGTTTTTATCCCGAGTCAACACTCACAGGCAGCCTCGTTTTAACGCCCCGTAAAACGAACCAATCGAACACACAAGTGCGGGAACGATTCCTCCCAAGTCTGTCGTTAAAACAATCGCAATGTTGGTAGACAATACATCTTTGATCAAGCTGGTCTTGTCAATGTAAGACACACCATGTCTAGTCTATAAACTAACAGCAAAAAGTGTCGATGTGGGACTTGTAAGTCTCGGTCTCTCTCGATTAAAAATCGAAATCTCGTTAGCCGGGGAAAAATATAACTTTTGCAACCGAATTAACTTTTGTGAACAGGTTCCCGTGTTGAAAAAAATACTGCGATGTTTCAAGGCCTCGCTTCGATATTTTAAAATCACCAAGAGTTACAAAACTGAAGAATTCTAAAAATAAAAAATTAAAAAATCCAAGCTTTTTTTTCATACGTCGGGGAACTATTACATTTAAATTATTTCCTGAATACAAAAGTTATAATAAAATCAAATAATATACCGGTAGATCTGCTATTAATAATATTCTATTAGCGGTAAAAATGTAATTAAGTTTAGGATAACTTGTTACGGATTAGATTGAATAAATAATAACAAACAGTAAGTTTCTTTAAAATTCATAAATTAAGTAGGTTATATTTTTCTTTAAGCTAGCCTACATATTGTAGCTTCATTATAAAAACACATTTTACCTAGTCTATAGACACAGCAGAAAGTTGCACCCAGTAGATGCATTCAATCACAACCAGTTGCAAAAAAAAAAAAAAAAAAAAAAAAAAAAACACCTGAAGGAATTTTGTAGTTATTTCCCCTACCCAATGTTCAATATAAAAAGTGCGTAGAGTTATATGCTCTACTAAAGATATTTGTGTAGTTATCTGCGCTTGGTTGAGTCATAAAAAAGTTTATGACGCCGAGAAATGGTTAACACAAGGGAAATAACTCATCGCTGGTGTGGTGGTTTTTGGTTTTGTACAAGTGGTAGGTTGTGTGGAGGTTTATGTTTTCTGATGTGTGGTAGGTTGTGTGGAGGTTCTAGGTTTTTTGTTGTGTGGTATATATGTACAGATTGCTGGCTAGTGTACGATAGTGTACATCCTTTTTGTACAGGTGGAACAACATCCCATATATTGTAGCACCAGCAGTTTGGCTGGATTAGAACCCCTCAATGTGTCCTGTAAACTTAATAGACCTTACCACGAATTCACGTTATTCATAAATACAACTTTTTATCATAAAACTGGATTTGTTCTCTTTTATAAGCCCAAATTAACAGACAATAACCTTTTAAAAATATTCATTACATTTTAAAATCATTTATAACAGCGTTAACAAATAAAACAACAAATATAGACAAGTTGATTTATTTGTGTTAAAAATAAAATATTCCCTCAATAGTTTCGTAATCTATTTTAATTGCTCTTTAAAGTTTTTAAGTGCATCGTTTCCGCCATGTTTAGCAATAAGAACACTGAGATTGTTGTCATTCATCAGATGTGTTGGTCTTGTGGCGGCTTATTCGATCAACAAACGTAAACAATCATCACACAGATTCGTCATGTTTCAGTTGATACGAATTTTGTTGTGTCTATTTTATGGTGAGTTGGTCGTTAGTACAATTTGAATATTACTTTAGCTTTCATCAGAAAAGAATATAGAAGTCTAGAATCGACCCCACTTGAAATGCATGAGAGAATAAAAAGATGTTGTGTTTTACTAATGTGGACAGTGGGTAAGTTAGGCTCCTCGACTTGAATCCACATTGCCAGGTTTGGCGTCATGTATGGCACTCGACTTATGAGTAGCAGAATTTTCATATTGTTTTTATTACAATTTCAATAGAGTCCTCACCCTTGTACTAAACAAAATCCTGATCTTAATGATAATCATAGCTCGAAAGTCTGGAGTTCCGGGGCTTGAGACCGTAGGTCGTCCCTGAGTCCACACAGCTCTAATGGGTACCTGACTCGCGTTAGCGAGAGTGAAGATGGCTTGGCATGGTTTTGATCACACTATCTCTTAATACGCTGATGTTAAAGAAACAGATACAACTCTACTTCGCCTGCCCAATGGGTAATTTTATTTTACTTGATAATAACGCTAAACCTGGTTCTAATGAATCCAGAGCAGAAAAACAAAAATTCCTAGCACTATACTGAAACACATTTATAAACGTATAGTGTGCATCTGCTGAGAGAAGAAGTCACGCGAGAAGACGTGAATCCACGTTAAAATTTGGGTTGGTTCTGGAAATTGGTTTTATGAACGGGAGAGGTGGTGATACCCATTGATTTAATTGGGAAGAGGTGGTAATACCCAGTGATTTAATTGGGAACAGGTGGTGATACCCAGTGATTTAATTGGGAAGAGGTGGTGATACCCAGTGATTTAATTGGGAAGAGGTGGTGATACCCATTGATTAAACTGGGGAGAGGTGGTGATACCCATTGATTAAACTGGGGAGAGGTGGTGATACACATTGATTAAATTGGGGAGAGGTGGTGATACCCATTGATTAAATGGCGGGACTACATTTAGTGCCCACCACAAAACATGTACATTTACTTTATCGGCCAGAGCTAGATAGACACGGGCCATTTCTTTTTATTTTTTGGCCATTATTTCCCCTCGAAAGGAATAAGCCAGTTTTCTATTTTTCTTCTTTCTGTGACTTAATATCACGTGACAACCAAGATAGCACTACTTATACACTAGCATGAAAATGTCTTAACTAAATCAAGCGTAACACACACAAGCAACACACCACACAAAGCTGATATGTAGCTCCATCACGAATGGTCTTAGAAAGTTAAAACTATCCAATCGACTCCGCGTTTTGTATGTTAAGCCTCATTCTAAGACAGTCACTTTGGAGGTCGCTACTGTAAAATCCTTTTGGTAAGTTGTCAGTGCCCAAACTAAGTTCTTTTATTCGTTTGTATACCAATCTTACAATCTCAAATTTCTTTACGTCTGCGCTGTTACAATCAAAATTCCACTGAAATGTCTTTTAGGCTGTTACAAAATAAATTTTGACTCAAATGTATTTTGATTTAATTTACTTACAATTTCGTATACATTCGTTTTGTTTTTATTGCTACGTTAAATTAAATTAATTTTATTTCCTTTAAGAGCACCCTCTAGATAACACTTCATATCCCACATAATCCACGTTTCTCATACGCCGATTATCTTGACTAAGTTACTACAGACGACTTCAGTAAAAACATCACACGCAAATCTCTCCGATATTCTGGCCACAAAGTTGTGTTCCCGGGGACAAGCGCAATTTTTTAAAGCTCCATTTAACACGTCAGCTCCAGTTGTTGGCTTTTAACCTGAGCTCCCTGGGCTAAGAGTACGACAGCGATGTGGCAGCACTTTTAGATCCCCGTCACAGGCGTAGATGCATGAGCCACACGGGAGCAATAAAATGCTGCTCAATCGGCGGAGCTAAAAATATGCATCTGTGATTGAGTGGGGAGATTGGGAGGGGGTGGATTGGGAGGGTTGTGGGGTGGGGGAAAATTGTCTGAACTAATAACGTGCTCATGTTTGTTTTCGTAACTTACTACGTATATACGTATATACATACATACGTAAGCATTACACAGATACACACGCATATATTTATATATAAACAATTTTTAGGTAGATAAAGTGTTAAAAATATGCGTCATATGTAGGCTATGTATCAAGTTCAAACTTTATGTATCCTATACAACAGCAC